GTGGAGGGCTGAGGGTTGAGGCTCTGGATTTCTAAGTGCACTGTCGAACTCTCCAAGCCTCTGGAAGGGAGTTTGTTCTACCTATATGAAGGGCCCAGTCGGGTAGTCCGTGAACTCCCATGAAGTGCTGCAGATCAAGGGGGCCACAACATCACAAGCTCTCGAGTGGCTGCTAGTGGTCGACAAGCAACCGAAACCAAGTCGTCAAACTACCGTAAAGTGTGCCAAACAACCCTGGTCACTGGTCAAGCCATTCAGATTTCGATCTTGCTCAGCGAATCTTCGAGCAGTCCGCAGCGTGAGATGTCTACGTGCATGGTGAAAATAGACCACCCCACTTTTTGTCGATCTACGCCCCAGAGGTAGTGAAGACGCGCAGCCGTAAGGTGGGTGGTCGTTTTCGGTAGAATCTCATCACATGTAATCGAGATTCCCCCTCATTTCCCTCTTAGAACCTCTAGAACAATCCGCACATGCCACTTGGCGTTTGTCAGAGTTCAGGCTGGCACATATCATTTCTGGTACTATTGTTATCAGTATATTGCTGATACTACTAATTGCTCTTATTCTGATTCATAATCGTATTGCTGGCCTTCTCATTATTATGATCGTGCGTGACGTATGTCATCGTAGCCCAAAGCCACTCCGCAAAAGCTCCTAGGCCCAAACCACATGCAAAGCCTCAACCAAACCAAAAACCAACAGTGGGATGCTGTACAGATGGCCGCAAGGCCAGCTTCACCTTACATGTACCCAGAGGCCCCAAAGTAGTTCCTTTTTGGGATTAACTTATAGTATTCTATAGATGAACCCCCAAAAGGAACTACTTTGGGGCCTTTGGGTAAGCAGTCCGGGCGGAGGGGTGGTCATCTTCACATATTAAAGAACGATCAATTCGATTTCTGCGATGTCGTTCGCAGACCTCGGAAACATTTCACAGGCAGTCACGGTAACTTGGCTGAGTTGGCTGGCAACAGTGGATGCCTTTATTGTTCAAGGCATTTGGGTGTTACGGTTCAGGGTGTGAGGCCTTTGAGGGTCTGGGCCCTGCGTTTGTTGGCAAAGTTTTAAGGGTTCATACATTACTATTTTATTATTAGTATTGTTATTATTAATATTAATATTAATATTAATATTAATATTAATGTTAATATTAATGTTAATATTAATATTAATATTAATATTATTGTTATTATTAATTTTAATATTAATATTAATATTCATATTAATACTAATATTAATATTAATATTAATATTATTATTTATATTATTATTATTGCTTTTGTTGTTAATATTATTGTTACCTTGTTTTGGGTAGGACCCAATGCATAATCCTACGCTTGTTCCGTGCCAGAGGACCAATGCAAAGAACGGTTTAGGGTTTAGGTCCAGGTGCGCGAGGGTGTAGTGCAAGTCGAGGGAGCAAAAGCAACATCTTCGTCAAACGGACCTTGATGAGCATCGTATTCACCAGCTTTGTACAGTACTGCAGCTGGGCATGCAGGATATTGTTGTTGTATGAACAGGGCCAGAAACCAAGATATCCAAATGTAGGTGATGCCCACTACTATTACCAACTGTTGTCGTTGTTTTTTTGGGCAGCCTGTCACACCACACCGCCCTGCATCGAACACCTGTGGACAACGGATCTGCCGTTTGCAGCTCGTCGTTCGGAAGCTGCACCCCGGCTGTAGTCTTACAGCGTCATGCAGGCCACCGGGTCCAGGAATGTCTAGTCTAGAGTCTAGAGTTCTAGATGTGAAGCTTACCGGGGATCACTCTTACGTTGATACAAGAACTTGGAAAGAACACGGAGACCAAAGAGAGTCCCTCCGGAGACTGGACAGGTCGTCCTAAAACATACTTGGCGTCTTGGAGCAGAGAAGTTGGGAAATGAAGGGTCCATATTCAAAGGCCCATCCCAACAGAAGAGTAGATAAGCTGCCTGAATCAAGCTGAGCAGCATCATTCGTCCCGACCCTGTGCCTACATGCGTCCGTCTCAATACAGGTCCCGTGAAATAGCGTGTCGTAAAAGCCATCTTGCAGCATAGCCAGCCCCATACTTTCACGGACCCCCACATTGAGACGACCCACTGGCGGCGGCGTGTGTAGAGGAGGGGATGGTTAAATGATTTGTGGTGTCCAAGGTTTGTGCACTTTGGCGGTGCCGCGCCAATGCGTACAAAGCTTGTTTGCGACTGCCAGGCTGCTGCGTCGACGAAGTACCAAAACCTACTTGTTTGCAGGGGCCTCTAAACTCTAAATTAGGGGTTTAGGACCACGACCTATCTTTTTAGGAAGTGCTGTTACGATTTGGGGAAGCCTCCCCCATAACAGTACCTAGGACCTTTTGGCTTTACGATGCGGACCTACTATCAAGGAGGTTATGGCAGTTTTAAGTATTTATGGGAGGCGGAGCCTCCCCGATAGCCTGACCTTAAGGACGAAAAGAATCCTAAAAGGGCTTCGGGCTCATATACCTTATAGGGATTCATAGTATACTTGTATAGGGCCCGTGCTTTTAAGGGTCATTTGGTCCTTAAGGGAAACGTCCCCTCCTCTCTGCCCGGCCATCTGAGAACGGCCGAGGGATCTGAAATGACCCAGCGGCTTTCATCACCTCGGTGGCATCTTGCAGCTGTGCTGGGTTGGTGTCTGCAGCCACACTAAAGTGCGCACAAGTGAACTCGTGCACCTATGCAACCATAGTGTGCACGAATGTTGAAGTAGGTCACTGCATGATCACAGATTCAAGGTCGCCTGCAGATGTATGTAATTGGGGTGCATAGCAAGTGCACATGCATTCAGACGCATGCGCATGGAGGTACACGTGCGCGCATACCAAACAAACACAACAACTGTGATTCGAAACGATCCAGCAAGTTGGGCGTGCTTGCTGGTAGCCAACCTTGTTTACCATGGTTATTCTAAGCTTCTCAGCAGTTCAGCAACATTCGCAAGTCCTGCAAATCCGGAAGCGAAACTATGAGAGAGGAGGACTAGACGGCCTTGCCTTCAATCATGCATATGCCATAGAGTTCCTTCAGCTTCCATCCGACCTAGTGCCCCGACTGGCGCAGTGGTGAGCGGGCCAGAAAGTCAGCATCCACCTCACCAAGTTAGGACTAGGAGTTCGGGGCATAGATCGAACAGGGTTGCTGAGGGTGCATAGGGTCGTCTGTTCAGGGCCTTAAGGGCTCGTCGAGAATACAATAATGCTTCATGTAGCGAGTTCGCAGTTGAGGCATTTGCGGCTTCCCAGCTGGAGAGGTGCGAGTGTCTGTATAGGGCACAGGCATCGAGGCGTCGGAAGGATTCAGCAGACGAGCATACTGTCGGACATTTCTGCAGACTTTCAGATCTCTGGTTCTGGAAGGGCTGCCCGAAACTCGGCTCATCGATCTGAGCGTAGGTGGATATTTAGTGCTTCTTGGGCTTGGGACCCCCGCCCGGGGGTCGGGAAGTCGCGTATATTGTCAAGGCCCTGAAAGCTGCACGCCCCCCTCCTAACACCCCTTGAAGAACCCTCAAGCTCTCCCTCAACCCCCCACAACTCCCCAACCGCCCCCAACAAAAACATACAAGCTCCCCCCGAACCTATTTTAAAGAACCCTAAACACCCCCCCAACACAACACCCCTGCAGAACCCCGAAAACTCCCCAAACACTTAAACGGAAACAAAGCTCCCTGAAGCCACGCATGAACTGGACCAGTTTAGGGGCGAATTACTAATGCCGCAAAAACCTCAAACCCCTAAACCCTAAACCAGTTAAAAACCCTAAAATCCCTAAACTCTTCAACCCTAAAAACCCTAGACCCTTAACCATAAACCTTAAACCTCTAAACCCTAAACTCCCTAAAACCCTAAACCCTTAAGCCCTGAGGGCCCATTAGAGCTCCCGGAAGCCTTGCCGCGGCGCGTGGGCGTCCCCAAGCCAGGACAGCGCTTGGGTGAGCTTCCTTTTTCCCCAAGCGGGTCAGAGAGAGAGAGGGGGGTAACTTGTGTGTGGGTTTTGAAGCATTTTGGGGTTTAGAGTTTCGGCTTTAGGGTTGAGAGAGATGGAGAGAGACCCACAGGGTCCTAAGTACCTTTCCGAAAATTGGGGGGTTACCTTGTTTTGGAGTCCTTAAACTAAGGACCTACTATTTAGGGCACTTTACGAAGGTCCCCTATTTTCGGAAACTACCAGTAAGATAGTAAGGTTTCCACAGCAGGAATGACGAGAATGGACTGCGAAAGTTCACCCCATAACACTGCGTTTTTGACCTTTAGCCCAGCGGCGTTTTGCAGGGGCCTACAGAATGACCCTGCCCAACCCAAAACCTACTTCTTGAATACAGTAGTCCCGATAAAAAATTCGACTTCATGCAGGGTTCATTTAAGAACCTGCAAAAAGGTAGGTTCTAGTAGTTTCGGGATTTCTGCCCAGGGTTCTTTGGTGCTTCTTTCTCAGGGCTGGGACCCTTCACAACAAAACTGGGCTTTGTTGGCCAAGGGCCGCGAGCCCCGAACGCCCTGGAAGCCTCAGGGTTTCAGAGTTCGTGGTTTAGGGCTTTGGGGTTTTAGGGTGCAAAGGGCTAGGGTTATAAACCCTAACTTCAGGGTCCTGAGCCCTAAACCCTAAACCGAAGCGAATGGCTGGTGGAGAAGTATTGCACATAGACATATCTACCATCCAACAGCTCGAGCTTGCATAACCCCACAGCCTAAGCCCGTTTCCTCTTGGCTTCACCATTCTGAAAGAAATTCACAAATCCCGTTCACTCCACCCGTGGAAACTGGTTGCAACAAGCTCCAACGATACATGAACGATCATGTATTCTAAGAGCAGCATGCACAAGATTTCATACTGGCTGACTACGATGACGACGATGCTTACAAATGCTTACAGTGATGAAAAACAGTCGCGAAACTGCGAAGCCGTAGGACCGTCAAGGCTTGGCAGGCGGTCTTCTGTTTCTCGTCGCTTTGCCGAGTCGGTAAATGGGGGGATCGGGTCATTGGCTGTCGGAATCTCTAAGATGCCTCACGAAGGCCTTGAGGCTGCGAACCTCTGCCTCCAAGTCTTGGATACGCCTCTCTGACATGATGTGAAGGCGCTCGAACTTCTCCCGCTTGGAGAGGGGATGGTCCACTGCCCGCATCGGCAGCTCACGATCGGACTGGCACAGGATCGTGGCCTCCCAGTGCTTCACCGCCCCTGCCAGGCAGACTGTGGAGATGAACTTCTGGATCGCACCGTGGCGCCGAGCGACGGCCGCTTTGGCGCGGCGCTTCCGGCCGCGTTTCGGGGTCGCGGGGGGCTCGACCAGAGTGCTGGGAGCGGATGCCACTCCGCCGCTGATGACTCCAAGCAGCCATGAGCTGAACTCCTTTTGGTCAATCGTGCTTGAACCATCCGCATCTAAAGCACGAATCATGTCATCGATCTCTGCTTCGCGGATCAGGCCTCGCTGTGAAAAGAAGGCCCGCAAGTCTTTTTTCGAGACGTGCCCGTCACCGTTGACATCGAAGAAGCTGAAGGCATACTCGATGTCGGTCTCTGACAATGCCTGCGTCATCCAGAGAAACTCCTGGAGATCGATCGCGCCATCTCCATCCAGGTCCAGAGACTCGAAGAGGCTTTGGGCAAGGTCACGACTCAGGAGCCCTGTCTGCTTTGTCAGGTAATATAGGGATTATATGGGGGGGGGGGTTCCGAAAATTGGGGGTCCCTTTTTGGGTACCCTAAATCTTAGGTGCCGTATTATAATGAGGACCCAAAAAGGGACCATAATTTTGACAAGCACCCATATAGGGACTATACTACCCAAAAAAGGTTAAAGGTTACCTGCTCTACTACTAGGCCTGTCATGGACAAGGCGAAGTCATCTCTGCCAATCAAGCCATCCTCATCGACGTCCAGTGCGCCGAAGGCGACCTCAGCCGCTGACTGCATGGCTGCCATTGGCTGCCTAGGCTCAAGGCGGATGGCTACGCAGACTGGGCCAAGGCGAGAAGGCAGATATCCAAGGATGGAGGCAGATGGAAACCACAACTGCACATCACCACAGCCTTTGCCGAGCTGTTGCAGTCTTCTGTAACTGTATGTACCCTTGCATGAGGTACAGTATATACGTAACCTAGTTGCTGAGTTGATAAGCCCCAAAAAGTGTAGACTTTCAGTTCCATCAGGGATCACATTATCCCAAAAAGTGTAAAGTGTGCTCACTCAGCTTTTAAGGCAAGAAGCAAGTTCTCATATACCCATCCTACGTGTGCCCGACCGGCCTATGCCCCATTTCCGCGAGGACAATGAAGGACGGGACAAGAAGCCGCCGCTCAATGCAGACCTCGTTGACCCACAAAGGACCCAAAGGGTTTAGGGTTTGCGGTTTAGGGTTCCTAGACCCCTAAACCCTTAACCTGAAAGTGCAAGCCGTGAGCCCGACCCAACCGTTCCGGGAGGAGATGTGTTTTTGGTGCTCGCGTTGGCGGGGTGTCCGCTTCCTTTTTAACGTTAGCACCCCTGTTCCTGTGTGTGTAGAATGCAGCATGTACCAAAGGGCCTAAATAATTGCCTATACTGTTTTTTTGGTGGGCTCCTTAGTATAACTATAGTATACTGGGCCCCGAAACTGCTCAGTTTTGGCTGCACATGCCTTCCGGGGGCTTCTGTGATGCACAGCATTCCCGGCTGTTCTCTGGCTTGAATTGGTCTGACTTGGGCATATCTGATCGTTCGTCTCCTCATAGGGTGAATATGTTATGTTCGTTCTGGAAAGCATGCTGTGCCGTTGTCAACTTTTGAATCTTACCTCGGGTTGCTCACAAAACGAAGCCTTGTGCAGTAGTTCTATGCGTTGTGGTGTCTTCGTTCTGGAAGGGATGACGCGTGTTGGTCCTCAGCTTAACTTCAGCCCGATTTGCTCATAAACTCAAAATGTGTGCCGTTTGTAAAATTATTATGCTGTGCTTTTCGTGCTGGAATTACCCTGTACCCCTAAACCCTATGCTTTACTATACGCGCTCCGGCGCCTTGAAAGACTCACCCGCCCATCTCGACAATTGGGATATGTTAGGGTGTAGGGTGTAGGGTTTAGGGGTTTTGGCGGCTTGCCTGGCGATAAGCAACAGAGCCAGACGAAAACGATGTGACTCATCCTTACAAGACCCGAGCAAAACATAAAGGATGGTTGGGAACCCGCGGTATTGGTTGGGGGTTTGGGGTAGGCCTTTCTCCGCTTGGCGTTCAGGGCCGCAGACCCGATACAGTAACTAAACGGTCATAGCCAAGAAGCAAGACTAATAATAATGATAATAACAATAACTAAACCGTAATCACAGTAATACGAATCACAGCAATGAAAGTAACAATAACAAGCATGTTGAAGTCCTCCTGAACCAAGCGGCGACAGCGCGCGTAGCCCCGGCGTGCAAGGGGAGGGGCTCCCCTCAGTATCGGTGCCTGGGTGTGGTGTACAAAAGCTGTGTGAGAAGTTCTCTGTAAGGGTGTTTGAGGGTTCGGTAAGGCGTAGAGGATCTCATGTTTTCTATTCCGAAAGGTTCCAGCAAAGGGCATGCTAACGATCATGAGTTGCGAGGTCTCCGAAGCCGAGCTACAAGAGAACTCCCGTCGGAGTCGGACGTGTTCGGTTTGGGTTCGGGCGGATCCGAATTTCTTTACTTCACGGAGAGATTTCCGGCGGCATGGAGACAAACAGGTGTTGAGGACTTTCGAGAGAAACACTCTGAACTCCGTACGAGTCTTGACGCTCACGGCTAGCATGTTGCATGGTGGTGTAGAGCCCGAAACACAGCTGCATGCTGTGTGCAGCCCGGGGGAGATGTTTCAAAAGCATCCCCGGAAGGCCTCATGAAGCAGTAACTCATCAAAATCTATATGCACTCAGACTGAGACCCTGGGAGACCCCCAAAAGGAAGCCTCAAACACGAAAGCAAAGCCCTGAACCCCACGAACACTTCCGGGGCCCATGCGTGTTCTTCGAGGAGGAGTCCTCGGATGCATGTCTTCTTCTTGTCTTGCAATGGATGGATAAAATCCTGCATTACCCGAAACTATACTGAACTTAGAACCCTAGCAAACATTAGAGTCTTAGCTGTTTCTTAGGGATTATAATAGCCAAAATTACATAGTTATTTCCAAGTACCACTAAGGAAGTGTACTATAGTACCCTAAGTCCCATAGCTTAGGTATATTATAGGGCCATCCCGGATTTTGTCCATCAGCAATGGGTTTAGGGTTGTAGGCTTGGGATTTACGGCTCAAGGCTTGTAGGACTTAGGGGCACGCTCTCTTGAGGGAGGGTGGACTCTCTACCGGATCCCAAACCCTAAACCCCAAAACCCCTAACAATGGAGGGGGGACTCTCTACAGGATCCTAAACCCTGAACCCCAAAACCCCTAAGAAGGGAGGGGGGGCTCTCTACAGGATCAAAACCCCTGAGAATGGAAGGGGGGCTCTCTACAGGATCCTAAACCCTAAACCCCCACACCCCTAAGAATGAGGACTTCAGGATGAATAGGGCTTCACTGGATTTCAGGATATGCAGGGTGCAGAGGGGTTCTACGATGGCTTCTGAGTTTTCGAGCTGAAGGTGTACAGAACTACCGTTTATAGGGTTCTTAGAAGGGCTTGGTTTCCTCTGAGGGGTCGAAGTTCAAGTTCCAGATTCTCTCTGAAATGCAAGACTCCTCGAACCCCGCAGACTCAGCAGACCTCTTCATCTCGGCCCCCAAACAGTCTGAATTCGCTCTTCTGCATTTATTGGGTTTCGGATCCAGACGCCTTATTCACGCGCGGCTCATGAGACCTCTCCCTTGAAAGTCATGAGCTAGGCGCATAGATTTCGACTGCCCGGAATGCTGCAGAGCTCGACGCCCGGGGTCCGGAATCCTCGCATAGCAGCGGCCCCCGGCTCGTAGTTCTGGCTTTCGGACTCCGATACGGTAAGTGTCCCGGCCCTTGTTGCACATTCGCTACCGGTCCCTTGCTAGGGCCCTTCCCGGGACACTCTCCGTCCCCTGACCAGTGGCCTTTCCGGCCGCATGTCTTGCAAGTACTCCGGGGCTTCATCTGAAGTTCGCCTCCGGTCCGGTCCTCCAAACCCTAAACCCTAACTCCTAAACCCTACAAGAGTCAGAGTCCCGTGGCTCTCAACCACGTAATCGCAGACTCCTTTCAAGTTCAGAGTTTTTCCCCTTGCCCTTGGCTTTGGAGCCATGAGAGCGACTGACGTCAGCCAAGAAGGCCACTATAGGGGCCTTAATAATTGCCAATGCTATTGGGGGGGTGTCCTTACTATAGTTATAGTATGAAGGAGCCCAAAACCCTATTCTACTTATTAAAGCCCCTGTATTAGGATCTCGTCGAACCCTTCCCAACTGAGGAACGCGTACGCCATGTTCCATATTTGCTTCACCCGCCCCAGAACCCTAGCCCTAAACCCTTTAGCCCCAAACGCCCTACACCCTTAACCCCTAAATGTTGCAGTAAACCTTAAACCCTTAAACCCCAGAGCCTATCCACCTTAAGGCACACAAACCTCATGGACGTCAAGCACCTCCAGCCCCAAAACACCCGCAACAACAAACCAAAAGAGCTCTCATACACCCTACGTCACCAAGATTCGAACCCTGACAGCTCTCCCTAAACCCTAAACCCCAAGCTCTAAACCCTAAACCCTAAACATACCCTAAACCCTAAGCCCTAAACCCCAAACCCTATACAATGGTGATGGTACTGCGAATATCAGAGCAACACCGCCTTACTACCCGGTTGCCCCCGGTGGATCCTCGCCATCATCGATTCAAAGTCTCGGCCTGAGCTCGTCTTGTCATGAGGGATCCCGTATAGATCCCTTAAAGGAACCCTCGGTAGGTCCCTTATAGATCTGATATTGGAGTTTCCGACAATCGGGGACCCCCCCAAAAAAAGTACCCTAGATAGTAGGATGCTTATCATAAGGACCCCAAAATGAGGTACCCCTCATTCTCGAGAACTCCCATGAGGATTCCATTCCCATCCACCCGCGCAAACACGCAGCTAGCCAGCCAGCCATGTATCATCTATCCTTTCATCGATCCATCCACCTGTCGATCTATCGATCTATCGGTCTGCCTATCCAGCTGTCTATCTATCCATCCACCCATCTGTCTATCGACCTACATGTCTGTAATCTATCTATCTATCTGATCCATCTGATCTATGCGCCTATCTGTGTTCATCTTCGCCCAACCTAACCGAATCTTGCCTATTTATTCTATCTGATCCTATCCTATCCTACGGTCTTCAGGCCCAAGTAATATACGGTCGGGAGGGATCGAGGTTGAGGGATCGGTAGAAGGCTGCTTGCTGCCCAAAGCTTGAGGGTTTAGGGTTTGGGGTTTGAGGTCGGCAGTCAGGGCACATGTCTAGAGGATTGCAGGTACGGGCTGCAGTTTTCTCACGTTCGGGTTCAAATTCAGGTGGATTTGAGCCAGTTTATACCAGGAGATGCTGGCTAAGCTGGCTGCAGCTTGGGAGCTGTTCGACACGTGCACATCACACGACATGCAGTCCTTCTTCAGAAACATACCTAACCACCTCGAACAGCATTGGGTTGTAGCTTTTTGCTGAGGCTTCTAAGATTTTGGGGTGACACTTTTTGCCTTCCGGCTTGTGCCTTTGAGTGTTGTAGGGCTTGGCCGTTCGAGTTTGGGAGTACTGCTGGCAGCCCTTGCGCATGCACCGCACCCCGCACGCACTTGGGTTTAGCGCCTATGCATAGGTTTGAAAATATTCACACCCGAACATCCAAGTTGAAAGCGCGGGAGAAGGATTCAGAAGATTGGGAATATGTCCGACTAATTCCGACTACCTAGATACACACAGTATGCGAGATGAAACATAGCATATGGAGGCACCTCTGTGACATCAACTTTTCCCGCACCAAACCCTCAGCCTGAATTCTAACAAACCCAAACCCTCATGCCCCTAAACTGCAAGACCTGACAGTCGGTTTAGGGCTCCGGATAATGTGGAGCTTCCCAAAAGGGCTCCTGTAAGCATTCTTTGAAGGTGCCCTTTAAAAAGTTTACTTTACCCAAAGGACCCAAAGTAGTTCCTTTTGGGGGTTCATATATAGAATCCTATAATGGTCCTATAAGGTAATTTTCACAAGGAACTACTTTGGGGCCTCTGGGTAGGGCTCCCAACACCCTTCTGCTTTGGGGCTCGGACTCCGATGTTTCGAGGGGCTGGTCGTGGGTAAGCCCTTTGAGAGGTGCGGGGACGGTGCGTCGACCTCCACGGCAAGAAGAAGAGCTCATAATAACAATAATCGTGATAATGAGACTACTAGTACGTAGTTATAACAGTTATACCGATAATATAGTGGTAAATAACAATAATGATATTCATGATAATATTAATAGTAGAAGAAGCAATAATAAGAATAATCATAGTGATCAGTCAGGGGTTCTGCAAGGACGACTTTAGGGTTCTGAGTTCTGAAATTGAAAAGCATTTCTCTAAAAGGGCTACAGGTTGAGGGACGTGCGGTTCAGATCTTAGGGAGCTTGCCAAACCCTTGCCCGCTTTGCGTAAAAATGCCACCAGTAACGTAGGAATAAAAAGGGCTCCCTTTTTGGCATTGGGTACCTTTGTAAGGAACCTAGGACTACAAAAGGGGACTGAGGGTACTACTGGGCATCCCCGCCACTTACCCAACTAGAGGATAATTCCTATACTTCCCCTCATCTCACCCAACACAGTGTTGATGACTACTTTCCAATCATAGTACTGGCAAAATGCTTTGCCACCACGTTGAACGGTCAAGCTGATGTCAAAATCTATTGTTTTTGGAGTTGTGATGTCTTGACATTGCTTTTCTGCTTTTCTGAAGAAAGGTCTTGAACACTAATTACGTTTGATGCTTTTGATCAGAAAACTGACTCAGAGCATATACTTCAATATATCGTATAACACATGAACACCCCTCCCTCTCTCCCCCTCCCTCCCTCCCTCCGTCCCGAACTCCATACCGCGCGTTCCTCGCTCGCTCTATCTCTCTCTCTCTCTCTCTCTCTCTGTTTCTCGCTCTCTCTCGCTCTCCTGCTCTCGCTCTCACTCTTGCTCTGAAAGCTTCGCTTTTGAACATAGATAGACACATGGACAAGCAGTCCTACATTAGGAGGGCATCGTGTGAAAAATCATTGCGAGTCGCTTAGACACAGCATATTCCAATGCTCTATACGTCAATACTGAACCCTAAACCCAACACTATGATCGTTCTTCGTAAAGTCATGCACAGGTCAACAAGAAAGACGTGCCTGCCCTGCATGCTGCATGCCCTGACAGATTTGTTCAGTAATCATGTGCTGTATGCTCTCCAAACCCACATCGTGCCTCCCAACCCATCAAAGATGCTTTTGGGTTTAGGGTTTAAGGTTCATGATTTCGGTTGAGGGTCCCTGAGCTTAAACCCTAAACCGCAAGCGATACCGGCCTTCTTCTTTCGGCTGGTACCCCTCTTCTGTAAGACCTGAAAGGGTCATGAACTCTTGGCATGAGCAGGGGCGCTTTACGGTTGGGGTTTAGAGTTTAGGGGTTAAAGGTTTAGGGTTAAAGGTTTAGGGTTTAGGGTGTAGGCAGAAGGCTTTAGGGTTAGGGCGGGTATTACGGAGCCATTGGAAGTTGATTCCCGGCTCTCTTGCTCGCTAAAGATCTAGAATCCAGAAGCCTCACTTCTAGGTAGCCTGTACCACGAGGCCGAACTTCGAACCTACCTGCCTGCGCTTTAAGAGGCATGATTCAAAGAGGCCGACGTGAAACCGAAGCCAGGGTTCTGGATTAAAAATAGAAGCGAGAAAGCGCGGACAACTGAATAGGGATCATGTGCCCGAGAAAGCCTCAGGTGCATTGAAAGTGGCAGGCGTCGCAGGTTATGATGGTAAAACCAGCCAGAGAAGGTGTTGCCAAGTCACCCCTAAACCCGAAACCCTGAAACCCTACGCCCTAAACCCCTAAACCCTACCCAAAAGACTTCAAAGAGGAAGCCGCCTAGAAGCTGAAACCTAAAACTCGCTAGTCCTAAGCAAACACCCCCCCCCCACAAAACATATATATATATATATATATGTTATATATAGTATATATATATACTATATATATATATATACTATATATAACATATATATATATATATATATGTAAATTTAGAAATATAACAATAATCTCTCCAAACCCGTGGGACCCTTGTTTACCACCGAGTGCAAGGGCCCCCCTTAATTCAGAATCTACCTAAACAACCAGAGAGAGGACGCCTTGCATCATTGCTTGCTTGCGTGGTTTGTTAGAACTCTATCCCTAAGGGTCCATGTACCCAAATAGTCCATACTTTGGCCCCGAAGTACCTATATAGGGACTACTTTAAGGCCAATTTATAAACTATTTGGGTACATGGACCCTTAGGGTATAGCACTTTTGTTCTAATCACCGGCTGCTTGTTGAATCTCTGGGACATGCGGAACTCAGCCGCCCTTGCAACCAGAATAAAATTAGTATTCTTATGAATCCCCTTAAGTTATATGAAAAAAGTAAAACATAATTCCTAAGAGCAGTTTAACGGGAGCGCCCATGGCCTCGGCGGCTTCCACCGCTGCTCGGCGGAGGGCCTTCGCAAACTTGCCCGGAAGCTTCCAAGACTCCAAGACCCTCCAACAAGTTTTGACAAGGGCCCTTTCATAGAGCCCTAATGGTGGTTATTTGGGGCTATATCGGGCCCTTACAGTAGTGGTTATTTGGGGTAAATAGGCCCTTAATGGTGGTACTTAGGGGCATATTAGAGGGTAGTTGCGGGGTCCAGGTTCTTCTAGGGCTTTAGATCGTCAGCTTAACTTGAGGCCGTAGCGGTCCAAGGTTTTGGGGGCTTCGGCCTTGGGGCGTGGATGGTTTTTGGGAGAGTGGGGTTTCAGGTGTATGTAGGGCTTTAGGTTTTGGGGCTGAAAAACCCTAAACCCTACGCCCTAAACCGGGCTTACGATGGTGGATAGAGGATCTGGGCTTCAGGTGCTAGGCTTCAGGTGTTCGCAAACCTGCAAGCACAAACGAAGCTTTGTGGATCCATGTCGATCCTCTCAGCTGGCGTTAAACATGGAGATTAGTGAAACTACCGCTCTGAGTATAGTCTAGTATACCATAGTCAGCAACTAAACAGCTTCTATACGACGGAGCCTTTCCGACAAGAGATAGCTCGTTAGCAGCGGAGCCACGTTCTTGATGCTTTTTGATTTGAGGCTCAGGTGTTGTCCCCAACACCCAAAGCTTGTGCTTGTGCCTGAACCCTATGCCTACATCATTGGGATGACTAGAAAGTACCTACGGTCTCCATTGTAGTTCATTTTTGGTTATCCAAAATCTCTATTAATTATAGGTTCCTAACCATAAAACTGGTTAACCAGAAAAAGGAACTACAATGGAGACTATAGGTAATGTCAACATTAACAAACCGACCCGGAAGTTTCCGTTTTAGAAGCAGCTGCGCAACTACACTCTACCACCACGAACCCGGGCCACTATCGGATCACTATCGACAGGAGGCGGGCCAGTAAATGAAACACGGGGCAGGGGGGGGAAGGAGCAGTATTAAACCGAAGTGGACATTGACTAAGGCCCTACAAAGTTCCAAACCCACCAGCCCAAAAAACCTGAAAACCCCTGAAAATTAACAAACCCCAAACGCCAAACCGAGAACCCCTCAAGCCCTCAGTCCGAAAGACCAAACCCTGCAGGCCCTACTCTAAGGGCCTAAATAATTAGAATAGGGTTTCGGGGCCCAGTATAACAAGGAACCGTCAAAATAGTGTAGGTAATTACTTCGGCCCGTTCTATTGCAGCAACACAAAACCAGAATTCCTCGGGCCTCACGAGGGTCAAGGTTCACTGGACTCGTCGGCCCCGACGTGACCTGCCACAGCGGAAATCATGTGGGAGTTTCCGAAAATAGGGGACCCTACTATGCATTCTTCGTGGATCTAGCAGGACTTTACATCGTGGTTCAAGGGTTGTTCTGAAAGCAGCCGGATTACCCCCTGATCCTGTCTTGCAAAGAGATTGTCGTCCTTAGAACCCCCTGGCTGGGACTCTACCTCAGATGAAGACCTCATGAAGGCTAACAACAATGACACTTACAATTGTCAGCTAGATGCTGCCCTTCAAACTCTGCATTTGTGGACTGGTTGGGTTTTCCGGCTTCGGATAATGGAATTCTGGTCCTGACGTCGAGCCTGGTCCGCATGTAAGCACAAACAACATACATCCACATCTATTGGCCAGGAAAGGTGACCAATCAATCTTCAGACTTCCTTGTACTACGCTATGCTATGACTTCACAGCAACGGTTGCTTGGTTCGAATGTTATGGAATGAGTAGCACATCTATGTCCACACAAACCTTGTGTATGTGAGGTCGGGTCTTAAATATTGCCGGTATCCCCAGAATGATATCCGGGTTAAGTGCTAACCCAGACTCGAAGGAAGTCTCCGCACACTCACCAAAACCTCAACCCAAGCATTCGATGTGTGAAGTAGCCTCACTACACGAAGTCTGCATGGCACTAGTTCACCGTCTGCCGAAGTCCTGCTAGCAACTTCTCAAGACAAGACACAGCCTGTTTGCTGCAGAGCTCTTGTAGAACCTTTATCCATCCCTCATAGAAACTGGTTCTAGCAGGATTGCAAGACTAAGAACTGGCCAGATGTGTACTCCGCCTGGTTCCCATGGTCCGTCTCCCAACACCCACTAATCCCCCAAACACCTGGAATTCCAAACCCAAAGCCTCAACTACCAAAGGCTACAGTTACGGTGGAGAGCCTCAACTTCCACGGCAGTGGGGTTCACCGAACCGCGCGGTGTCACACATGCAGGGCTGCCGGACTCCGCGATCGCCTTCCAGTCTGAGGAAGACTTTAAACAGACTGGCACATGCACATGTGTTCATTCACACACATACCCATGTGCGCATATGTGTATACCTATCTATTGATAGATGCACTCACCAGCACATCCCTGTGCTGCATACAATCCCGTGCAACACAGTACAACTACCCCACACTTTGCAGTACAATGCAGTGGAACACAAGACGGTACGATGCAACACGTTACAACACACTACGTCACATAACACTGCTACATTGCGTGCAGTGGTAAATGACATTTTAAGCATGAGAAGAGGTTGGGTTCATTTGGGTTCACTACAGTACATGACACTGCAGTATTACATTGGAGCACATGACGTGACATAGCATGGCATTATTAATCAGACTGCGCTGCAGTCCAGTCAGCTCCATTCCGTTCCACTACATACTTTGCATGCATTACATATGTTGCGCGGCTACATAGAAAGGTGCATACCAGTGCATGCCTGCATGCATACATTGCCCCGCATGAATGCACGCATGCAAACACACCTACTTACACATAAACACGTGTGCGTGTATATATATATATATATATATATGCACACATTTATGTACATATGTATTTATGTGCACATGTAAGTTCATTCATTCATTCATTCATTCATTTCATTTCATTCATTCATTCATTCATTCAGTCAGTCAGTCAGTCAGTCAGTCAGTCAGTCAGTCAGTCAGTCATTCAGTCATTCAGTCATTCAGTCATTCAGTCATTCAGTCATTCAGTCATTCAGTCATTCAGTCATTCATTTCATTATTTCATTCATTCATTCATTCATCCATTCATTCATTCATTCGTTCATTCATTCATTCGTTCATTCGTTCATTCGTTCATTCGTTCATTCATTCATTCATTCATTCATTTCATTCATTTCGTTCATTCGTTCATTCATTCCTTCCTTCCTTCCTTCATTCATTCATTCACTCATTCATTCATTCATTTATTATTTCATTCATTCATTCATTCATTTATTATTTCATTCATTTATTATTTCATTCATTAATTCATTCATTCATTCATTCATTTCATTATTTCATTATTTCATTCATTCATTCATTCATTCATTCATTTCATTATTTCATTCATTCATTCATTCATTCATTCATGACGGCATTAGGACGAAAGGTCTCAGTCCCAGCCGAGCAAGGGGGTCATAGCCCCCGGCGATTACAAGTAGCAGAGCTGGCCAACTACCACAGCACACGTTGGCACTGGAGGAAGAAGGAAGAAAGGACAGCCTTCCCATGCATATGTATATATATATATATATGTATATGTATCATATATATATATATATATACAGGTGTGTATATATGTGTATATATGTGTATGTATATACATATATATATATATATATATATATATATGCATATACACACACATACACATCCCACATACCGGCATGCTCACATAACTACATACAGTACATACATGCATGTGCGTGTATATGAGTACGTGCATGCATGCGCCCATATACACATGCATCCACGCACACACACAAGGACATGCTCAAACACATACTTAAACGTGAGCTTGCTTTTATGTGGACACATACGCATACAGTATGCTTACACATCACGTGCGCATGCAAAGGCATGCAATGCACATTTACCTACACTAGATTCACATACATACATGCGGACACACACACACACACATGTGCGCAAGCGAAACACGTTTCCTAGGTTGCTCATATCTGAAGCTTGCTGCCTGGTTTTGCGCCAAGTCTTTGGGTGTGCGGAGCACTCTTGGGAATGCTTCTTCTTTACTTCTAAGGACAACACCTTTTGAGGGTGCATCATGTCGGAAAGCACAACAACCGGGTCGCAGCAAATCATCATACCCTTTGAGTTCTACAGTCCCATATCCAGACAAACTCAACACGTCCAACACCTCTTCTCCACCTAGAGTAAACTGGAAGGGTTCGGTTTAGGATTTACAGCAAATTTACAGCAAAGTATACCACTTGATAGTTTAACACAGCTATGCCCACATCTAAGGCTTCTGGAAGAGGTCAGAAGTCGCCTGGACGGCATGGTATTGCGCAGTCCCTGATTTGTCCTACTTGTCGGGTATCATGGGGAACTAAGGGTTAACCTTTCTGGTTGTATTGGGATTATATAGGGACTATACTACTGTACCTAAAAAAGGTAAAGGTTACTTGCTCTACTGCTAGGATTTTTACCGGGCCGGAGCTCTAAGGCTCTAGGGACATTTGGAGATTCTAGGTGGTAGAAGGCTGGGGGAGGTGGAGATTGAACTCCTTTGCGTAGTGTAGGGGACTCAATAATTAGAATAGGGTTGTGGTGATTTAAAAATATGGTAAGCGAAACAAAACCCTAAAACCCTCGACAGAGCCAAATATGGAGGGTTCCTTGTAGTATGAAGTAGAATAAGGAAACCTAAGGAAAAGTAGTACGTTAGTTACTATAGGTATGCGGGCTTCTTTGTAGCATCCCAAATCCTGAACCCGACTTGTCTCAGGCCGGGACCGACAGGCCAGGCTCTTGAAAGCTGGCGATGGGGTTGCAGGCCTCGCTGCGCTACGGTTGATGATATAAATCCTGCATTACCTTAAGGACCCTAAACTATGGGAACTATGGTATATTCCTAATTATGGGCAATGCAGGATTTATATCATCAACCGTAGCAGAAGGAAAGTTTCGTTGGGTTGAAAGAATCAACACTCAAAAGCCTAAACCTCGCGCGCTAAGGTTTAGTGTAAGGTTTGCAGTGCTCTGGGTTTTTGGTCGCGATGATGGGCTGGGACTGGGGTTTAGACTGAGGAGTTTTGGCCAACCCCCGTCGCGGGGCAAGGTTTGCAAGTTTGAAAGCAGGAATCACTATCTATCTCTTGTCAAATCCATCTTCTATGAACAGGGTGCACGGACTGGGGTCCTGTGTTCATGCTGGCGATCTTGCCGATTCCACCCTCAGACTTAAACCGGATTCATACGCTGTGGATCCTGGACCTTGGTTCGTTCACTGCAAGATACTTCGAAAGACTTGTAAGCAAGTCGTGGATCGTGGCCGTCGTGGTTCAATGAAAAAGCTTCCCTTTCGAAACCTCACAACTCACAAGCAGAAAATGGGAACAAAGGAGAGCACTGTAGTAGAGTTGGTCAGTTCGCCAGCGACCCGCCTGTGTCTTCTCGCTCGCAACACGTGCCTCCGCCAGGGACTGCCAATAGACCTTGCTTTCGTCCATGCACTTTCCAAGATTTCACAAACTGGGTTCAACCCTACCCGGACCTTACCCCATAAACCTGCCTCAAGAGGTCACAGAGGAAAAGAGCCACCCCTTTCCGAGCTCCACGCTGCGTCGGCTGACACCTGCCACCACGTGTGTGTGTATATACAATTATATATATATATATATATATATATATACATACACATGTGTATGTATGTGTAAGCAGAGTGCAATGTGAAACCAAGGCCAGCTCCTGCATCCCTTCGCAACCGGTACGTAAATGCTAATACTATACTAGGACTCGGACTTAGAGAAGTATCGATGTCTCAGGTGCGCATATTCCCAAAACGCTGCCAAAAAGCGACGCACAACCTATCGAGTCCCCGCCTCACGAAACTGTTGATGCAAGCTCTCGTAGGCTTTCTGCCTCGAAAATGCATGTACAAATGCATGTACATTGGAGAGGGGACCACGATCCCCTCCTCTTTTCTCGACTCCAAATCATCAGCAGGCTGTCCGAAACTAGCAGAAAGTGCCCTCTTCAAGGACTGTCACCACAGTATAACCTGCAAACGAGACATCATTGAGGCTTTAATGTTCGAAATCGTGTGTAGGAGTATACTTCTGTGTATGTAAACCTGTATGTCTACATATCTATATATATATATATATATGTATTTTATATATTTATAGATTTATATATTTATATATTTATATATCTATATATCTATATAGATACAATATGTATATGTAAAATGACGTAGGGGCCTAGGCTTCTACATCACACAACTCTGATTAAAGTCTGAACAGCAAGTCTCCAAGGAAAGCGAAAGTCGGCTGCGTCTTAAGTCAAGCTATTCCCATGGCCCGAATCAGCCACCGGCTTCGGTTCCGGGTTTCACTTAGGAATGAGGGCTTTAGGGCGATAATTAGTAGGCTTCTTGAAACAGCTTACAGCGCTTCAGGGTGCAGACTTGGGAGCTTGGACCTTGGATACCGGTAGTATATCAGTCGCAGGAATGACCCACAAAACGCAGGGCACCAAGGATCACTGGGCAAAGTCCTGCCCTGCCAGCAGAAGTCAGGTTCAATCCACCCGAACCAACCAGCTTTAAGCCAGTTCCACGCGAGATTCCCCACAACCCTCCCCGAAAGGCTTGAGGCCTTTTGGGTTTCAGGATCACAGGGACTTAAGGCTGATAGGGCTTCAGGTCCATGGACTCAAACCTAAGGGAAAACAGGTGAATTCCTCCCAAAACCTGCAACACACCCGGTTGCATGGTGGCCCAAATCCCTGCACATATGATCATATGGGAGTTTCCGAAAATTTAGGAGTACCTTAGTTTGGGGGTCCTTTTCATAAGGATCCTACTATTTAGGGTACTATCTTAGACTTTCTCTTTCTGCCCTCCCTCCAGGGCCAGGACAGTCGGTGACCAGCCTGAAGGGCCCAATCGAAGTGTAGGGTTTGGTAGTCTCATGGCAGCTACATGGGTTTAGGGTTTAGTGGTTTAGGGGTTTATGAAGCGGTCGTCGGACGAGCCAGGGTAGAGGGGTTTAGGGGTTAGGGTCTAGGGGCTTAAGGGGTTAGGGTTTAGGGGTTTAGGGTTTAGGGCTCCTATGGACGGGCTACTAGAATGAAGGTTTATGGGGCTTTGTGAGTTTGTAGGGGTTGGGGTCGTATGATTATGAACTGACACCCCGCCTGGCCCTGAGCTAAGCCCAAGATTCCTCCAAGCTTTCAATAAAGCCCCAGGTTTTAGGGTTCGGGGTTCAGGGTACATGCACCAGCATGATCGAAGCCGACGTGGGTCTTAGGATCTTGAGAAGCAAAAGTCGCTCTACACGTAGGCGCTGCCAGACTTCATACCAAGCCCCATGAGCCCGAAATTCTGGAGTCCTGGATAGCCGGAAGAATTGAGCAAACTCTGCCGAGTCTGAACAAGGAAGACGATCAAGTCTGCCCATATCGGAGTTGCCCAAAGCATGCAAAACGGAACCCTAAGACTGCACTAGATAGCCGCACATAAACCGAAGTAAACCCAACGAGCTCCAAATTCACCGAAATAAGCCTGTGAATAGCACTCAACAAAAGCCTGAAGCCCCCCCCCTCCCTTCCCCCCCCAAAAGAAACACCTAACTACCCCAAAACAGCCGCAAAAAAAGGGAAAGCGCGCCTCGTGCAGCCGAGCGATCTCCTCCCGGGCCTCCAGGAGCCCCCGGGCCTTCGACGCGGGCGCGCGGAGCGCTCGAGGTTTGCTCCCAAAAAACTCCAATGTCCCTTTAAAGGGATCTATAAGGGACCTACCCAGGTTTCGTTTAAGGGATCTCTTTTTTTTAGGGTTTAGGGCTGGATATATTGGAGTTTCCGAAATTAGGGGGGTACCTTGTTTTGGGGGGTCCTTATAATATGGATCCTACTATTTAGGGTACTATACTAGGGTCCCTATTTTCGGAGACTCCCATATCCAATCAAAGGGGTCTATAAGGGATCTACCGAGGGTTCCTTAAAGGGATCTATGCCTTGTGCTTGTTCTGGGACCCATTAAAGGCTCTTCAATGGAGTCCTTATGGCCCTTCATAGTGGGTATTTTGGGGTATATTAGAGGGTAGTTGTGCTTGTTGACCCTACCTGTAGCCGAAAAGATCTACCTTTTGGGGGTTCCTTACTATGGTTTCTATGTGTATATATATATATATATATATATAGAGTTCCCGATATATATATATATATATATATATATATATATATAGAGAGAGAGAGGGCTCGAATGGCCGCAGCAGCGCGGAACTATCGGTAGCCCCAGTGCCCATGGAAGGCACGCCTTCGCCTGGTGCCGCGCTTGCGAGGCGGCATGCAGATCTTTAACAAGACCCTGACAGGCAAGACGCTCACCTTGGACGTTGAGGCCAGTGGCACGTTCGACAAAGTCAAGGCGAAGTCCCAAGATAAGGCAGGCATCCCGCCCGACCAGCAGCACCTGATCTTTGCTAGCAGGCAGTTTGAGGGCGGCCGTACTCTTTCCGATTACAACCTGCAGAAGGAATCGTCCCCTCACTTGGCGCCGCACTTGCGAGGCGGCATGCATATCTTTGTCAAGATCCTGACGGTTGAGGCCAGTGGCACGTTCGACAAAGTCAAGGCGAAGTCCCAAGATAAGGCAGGCATCCCGCCCGACCAGCAGCACCTGATCTTTGCTAGCAGGCAGTTTGAGGGCGGCCGTACTCTTTCCGATTACAACCTGCAGAAGGAATCGTCCCCTCACTTGGCGCCGCACTTGCGAGGCGGCATGCATATCTTTGTCAAGATCCTGACGCTCACCTTGGACGTTGAGGCCAGTGGCACTTTCGACAAAGTCAAGGCGAAGTCCCAAAGTAAGGCAGGCATCCCGCCCGACCAGCAGCACCTGATCTTTGCTAGCAGGCAGTTTGAGGACGGCCGTACTCTTTCCGATTACAACCTGCAGAAGGAATCGTCCCGTCACTTGGCGCCGCACTTGCGAGGCGGCATGCAGATCTTTGTCAAGATCCTGACGCTCGCCTTGGACGTTGAGGCCAGTGGCACGTTCGACAAAGTCAAGGCGAAGTACCAAGATAAGGCAGGCATCCCGCCCGACCAGCAGCACCTGATCTTTGCTAGCAGGCAGTTTGATGGCGGCCGTACTCTTTCCGATTACCTCCTGCAGAAGGAATCGTCCCCTCACTTGGCGCCGCACTTGCGAGGCGGCAAGCATATCTTTGTCAAGATCCTGACGCTCACCTTGGACGTTGAGGCCAGTGGCACGTTCGACAAAGTCAAGGCGAAGTCCCAAAATAAGGCAGGCATCCCGCCCGACCAGCAGCACCTGATCTTTGCTAGCAGGCAGTTTGAGGGCGGCCGTACTCTTTCCGATTACAACCTGCAGAAGGAATCGTCCCCTCACTTGGCGCCGCACTTGCGAGGCGGCATGCAGATCTTTGTCAAGATCCTGACGCTCACCTTGGACGTTGAGGCCAGTGGCACGTTCGACAAAGTCAAGGCGAAGTCCCAGAATAAGGCAGGCATCCCGCCCGACCAGCAGCAGCTGATCTTTGCTGGCAGGCAGTTTGAGGGTGGCCTTACTCTTTCGGATTGCAACCTGCAGAAGGAGTCGACCCCTCACTTGACGCCGCACATGCGAGGTGGCATGCAGACGTTTGGACAAGAAAAGACAAGGCGGCACGACAATTGTTGATTGCTGCCCTATGTCGTGCATCGTGGCCCTTGAGGCTATGTGCTGTTAGTAAGCACAGCTTTTTCTATTTAATGCTGTGAGGGGCGTACAGCTTGCAGTTTGCCTCTTTTGCCCCATGAGGAATAGGCTCAGGCTGAGGCCATTCTGTGCACGCACGGTTTGGCCATGAGTGTGTGATGTAGGTTCCTTGGCTTTGAACGCACACTACCACGTCCCCAACGGGACGTTGGTAGTTGAGTTGACTTGTGCCTGCAGTTACGGCAGCAGCAGTAGCACGGTTGCTTGGTTATCCTGGTGCCTTTAAGGCCTAGGATTTGCCATTACGTTTTGGTTGAGTTGGAGACGGCTTTTGCCTTAAATGGTGCCGGGTCAATCTCCACCTTTGTCTTATCCAGCAGCGTTGCTTGCGCTAAGGCTGGGTTTTTGCAGATTTCTGCTCCAGGTTTGAGTGGCGCGAGTTGAATACCCAGGCGCCTTCCTTCCTGAGTGCATACTGCTGGTTTGCATGTTTGTTAATTAGGCTGCGAACACCACTGAATGCTTGGAAATGCAAAATATAGAGAGAGAGAGAGAGAGAGAGAGAGAGAGAGAGAGAGAGAGTTCCAGAGAAAGTTGGTCGTTTGGGCTACAGGTCGACCCTAAACCAATGGTTTGACAGGGTTTCGGGGTACAATATACTATGTTACAATGATGATACTCAGAACCCTAAAGAGAAGTACTGGTAGCTATTTAGGCTTCTTCTTTACAATTCCAAAGGGCTCCTGATCGAGACGTGGCTGTCATGTTATATCGTAAATATCACACGCAACCGCTTCCTTAACGTTGCCTTTGGCTAGTAGGGAATGGAAGAATGGTAGTAATAGTAGCTATAATTGTATCCCATTCCTCCATTCCCTACTAACCACAGGTAAGTTAACTGCAAACCCATTGACTTCCACAAATGGATGAGGAGCCGAGGAGCCCCTTCTCCCAACGACTTGCCTGTCCTAGTCCTGAAAAGCCGCCGGACTTAAACGCACCGTCGCCGTCGGACATCATGGAAACCAGTAGATCCCGCCCGGCGGACCAAACCCCAAACTGCCAAAAACCCGAAGCCCCGTCAAGAGCCCGGCCAACGCATCACCGCGGTGGCGCAAATAATGCACCTGAAACCCAGGCATCCCTCAACTCCATGGAACCTGTTTCGGGGTTCGGGCTCAGGTGGTTTAGGACAGTCCAACTGTCTATCTTGCGACTAACGGAAGAAAAACCCTAAATCCTATACCGAATATCCCGCGATGAACTGTATGAGGGCAGAAACAACCCGAAGTCGTACCGTGCAGGGAGATTGCAGAAAGACATCCCCAACGTTAGTCTCCAAACTGCTTTCATGCAAGCCCTACTAAGCCCTAAACTAAACTCTACCAAGCCAGGTTCAGGGTTCAGGGACAAACTCAGAAAAGAAAGGCTTTAGGCCTGACGTGAAGCTCTCCAACCAGGATCTTGAAAGCCACAGCAACAGCTTCGGGTACTCACTCTCGAAAAATCCTAAAGCAAAACCACACCCTAAACCCTACTTAAATCTCCGAAGCCCTTCTGGTAGAGTAAACCCCTATATAGTAACCCCTACTACTATAGTATCCCCTACATGCCCCTAAACTTGGGTTCAGGGGCTGAGGCTTCAAGACTTGGGATGCTGAGTGCATGGCTGAGGGGTGGGGATCAGCATAAGCGCTGACTACAGACAAGACTACTTCGAAGATCATGGGACTTACGGTTGATGATATAAATCCTGCATTACCCACAACAAGGAATATACCATAATTCCCATAGTTTAAGGTCCTTAAGGTACTGAGGGATTTTATCATCAATCGTAGCAACTGAGGTGACGACGAGTACCTTCATTTTTCACTGGGGCAGTAAATCAGTAAATACTTAGCGAGGTGGTTGATTCATAACCTTAGTTAAGGAGCCCCATGATTCCATGATCCTTGTAAGTACGACTACAATCTCCGAACAGAACAGATCTGGGACTTCGGGTCCTTCGAGCCAAAGATTCTCTTTCTTGAAGGGTTTAGAGTGGGAGTTAGAATTGCGGGAAGACCCTTTGGATTCAGAAGGGTACCCGCTTTTAGGGGTCTCCTTAATACCGCCTAGGATAGAGGCCCAAACTCCTGCAAATTCTCTTGCTCTTCGTAGCCCCAGAGCTTTCTTGGGGGAGATCTCAAGTTTCAGGGCCTCTTACCGAATGTAATCTGAGCACCTGAAAAACTGAAAATGGGGTGTTTCGGGTATGTATGCTATACCTAAACCCAAAACCGCCCAAAACCCAAACCCTAAGGGACCCTAAGGAAGAGTCTTACTACTAATTTCGACGCTAGAAAGCGCCCTGCCTCGTCTTCCACGTCCTCAAAACTCTTGAAGCCTCGAAGCGCTGCGGAGTTGGGAGTTTCCGAAAATAGGGGACCCTGATATGGTACCCTAAATTGTAGGATCCTTCTTATAAGGACCCCCAAAAAGGTACCCCTATTTTCGGAAACTACCTTCTTGGAGTGCCATGGCGCCTGGGGCCTGAGGCTGTCCAAGTACTCATACCGTATAAACGTTTGCCTTAATGTAACCCTGTTCATGTACTTTAAGGCTACAGCGAAATCTGGCGACTCCGGATTCTAAGATGAACTGAGGGTTTGGGAATCGGGGTTTGGCTTACCCGCAAAGACACTCGAGCATGTCGCGCGTGCCCGGCCTCGTTGTTGGGCACTTTCTGGGGTCTGAAGCTTGTCATGTCGGGTTTGGGGTTTTAGGCTTTAGTAGTGGCCTCATATATATATATATATATATATATAAGGGCTCGAATCGCCGCAGCAGCGCGGAACTATCGTTAGCCCCAGTGCCCATGGAGGGCACGCCTTCACCTGGCGCCGCACTTGCGAGGCGGCATGCAGATCTTTGTCAAGACCTTGGACGTTGAGGCCAGTGACAAGTTCGACAAAGTCAAGGCTAAGTCCCAAGATAAGGCAGGCATCCCGCCAAACCAGCAGCACCTGATCTTTGCTGGCAAGCAGTTTGAGGGCGGCCGTACTCTTTCGGATGATAACCTCCAGAAGGAATCGACCCCTGGCGGCATCCAGGTCCTTGTCAAGACCCTGATGCTCACCTTGGACGTTGAGGACGAGCAGCACCTGATCTTTGCTGGCAAGCAGTTTGAGGGTGGGCGTATTCTTTCGGATTACAACCTCCAGGTGGAATCGACCCCTCACTTGGCGCCGCACTTGCGAGGCGGCATGCAGATCTTTGTCAAGACCTTGGACGTTGAGGCCAGTGACAAGTTCGACAACGTCAAGGCTAAGTCCCAAGATAAGGCAGGCATCCCGCCCGACCAGCGGCACCTGATATTTGCTGGCAAGCAGTTTGAGGGCGGCCGTACTCTTTCGGATGACAACCTCCAGAAGGAATCGACCCCTGGCGATGGTAAGTACGATCGTGACATGCGGCACTATGAGTGCAAGACTGAAGGCACTAACGTTGCTTTTACGATAATTACGATAGGCGAGCGCCTTGACATCTGGCTCCGCAGCCCCCGCAGCCCGGTAGACCAGGTCCTGGAGTTCTGCGGCATGTCGACGGGTTTGTTGGGCGCTTCGCTTTCGTTAGACTCGGACCTCACACGTGTTGGTGTGTATATACGCGGTCACTGTATGCAGCGGCACGTCTGAGAGGGCACAGTGATGTTTAATTTTCCATTGTGAGGGACCTACCCTGTAGTTGGCCTCCCCTGTTCCCTGGAGGAATAAGCTCAGGGTTCAAGTGTGAATGCGTTGTACATGGCACGCATGTTTCGAGTGGGACGTGGTTTGAATGAAACCACCTTGTGGGGCGTTGAAACGCTTTGTCTTGTAGTTTGCCTCCCCCGGCCCCCGGAGGAATGCTCAAGATAGTACTGTTTTTGTTCGGTTGCCGGTTGTGAAAGGTTCTACGGTGACAAGTAGAACCTCAATCGAGCCCGGTTGCGTGCGTTAGGTAGCGTTTTTGCTTTCAGTCCGAGTGCCAGGCAATTGTAAATTGTGTATGGCATGTCCCCATCAATGCCGGCAGCGGCTGTCCCTTGATGGCTCTAGTTTTGACTTTTTGAAGAGATGTGCATGGCCGAGACAGCTTTTGTACATGCTGGTTCCATCTTGGCATGCTTCCTCTTCTGCAGATTTCTGCTCCGCTCGGGTTTATTCCGGGCGAGTGCACACTGCTTCAACCCTGAATTCATTGCTAGGCGTGCGTCCTCTGGACCCTGAACGCTACGAAGAAAAAAAGAAGATATATATATATATATATATATAGGACATGGGGGGAACGTTTTGGGGATTCGCAGGATGCAAGGTACGTAGTGTTGCATTCGGCGCACGCGTCCACAGCTGCGTCTCGAGAACAGTCTTCTCTCACACGGATTGCCTTGGCCCTACACTTACTCATGTGGGGTGCTTCCATGCCAACCCTACATCCGAGACGGAGAAACCGAAAACCCTAAACCTACTGAGCGTGGCATAGGATGGCAGTCACATCCACGGTGGAATCGTTAGCAACCCGCGAACGAACTCCTCCCTCCGACTAATCAGCCTACACGCACGGCAAAATGGCTTAAAAAGGGGCCGGGAGTATGTAGCAGCAGAGGTCTGTGCTACTATTGACTATGCTAGTCACCCCTGCTATACCCTCTACGCCCTGGGTTCTCAAAGTCCCAAAGCCCCATACTAAGCTAACAAGTTCTGTGTCTAAGATCCAAGCATGTACAGTCAGGCCGCTAAAGCTTACATCCACAAAACCCTGAAATACCCAATAGACCTTCAACCCGCAGAATCCCTTCGAAGACCCCCCCAAACAGGTGTGCCAGACCCAACCCCAAAAGTGGGCAGGACGCGCCTTAAACCCTAAGCCCTAAATCCAAAAACCCCAACTTCTAAACCCTAAACCCTAAACCCTAATTCCTAAACCCTGAACCCTAAACCCTACATCCAAAAACCCTAAACCCCCAAAGAGGCCCAAGGTCCGGGCAGGAGGCGCCCTCCAAGTACTCCTCCAGGTCATGTTCGGCTGCTGCAGGCCTTCGGCTGCTGAGGGATTCGAGTTTTCCTCGTGAGAGCCTACATCGTAAATTTTCTGTTTGTATTACTAGAATATATGACCACTATATATATATATATATGTATACATATATACATATATAATAACGCTATGTACTATATACTAGATATTTACATAGTATGGAACCGCAGGGAATACAAGCATATTCCAGATGCTCTGGGTCGGAGAGGCAAGAGGAAGCACTCGGGCAATTGAAAAGCGAATGGCATCCGAATCTTCATGCGTTGGTGGGAAGCGCTCTCCTAGGCACATCCATACTTGCATTGTCTCAGATCTGGGCATTTCTCACCCGACTCGCAAAAAACAAGAAGCACTGTCGTCTAACCAAAGTCACATCCGAGACTTGAAGAGGAATATTACTAAGGCAAAAAAAGCTCAGCACTCGTCAGCACTGGCCTGTCTTCCGACTCGGCCTCCATGGGCTTTGTCTCGCCATCGTCCGACATGTTGCCAGGGTGTGCTGTTTCGTGCAGACAGAAACACATATTGGCCGCAGGCACGAGCCTACCATGATCCTCCTGCTGCTCTCAACGCTTCTGCGTCATCTGGTGAGTGTCGGATTCGCCAAAGCTTCTAGCCAGCACGAGCGAGTGGCAATTATGAAACGCCGGGTGCCTCAGGAATACCCTAGACTCCAAGGGTTAAAGGAGGGACCCCTTATAAGGACCCCTAGGTATATACCCTTAATATAGCTATTATGTACCCATTATATAGCCCATTAAAGGGTAGGGGTCCCCACTAAGCGTCCCTCCTTTTCCCCTTTCAAAGGCTCCTAGACAAGAGCCCCTACGCCTGAGGAGGGCTAGAGCCTCTGAATAATTCTTGTTCAGTCTGAAGGTAGAGGACCTGATGCTGACAAAAGCCCCGGCTTAGGGTTTAGGGGTTTAGGGTTTAGGGTGTCCAATGTCCTCACGATTCACTAGTCTATTTTCGCAAGATTTTGGGAAGCTGGAACTCGTAGCCACTGCTACAGCTGCTGTTACCAGTGCTACTACTGCTGCTGCGGCTGCTGCTGTTCCGGCTGCTGCTACTGTTACGGCTACTGCAACTAATACTAATGCTGCTAGTACTGCTACTGCTTCTACTACTGCTACTACGGCTACTACTACTACTACTACTACTACTACTACTACTACTACTACTGCTGCTGCTGCTGCTGCTGCTGCTGCTGCTGCTACTGCTACTGCTACAGCTACTGCTACTGCTACTACTACTGTTACTACTACTGTTACTACTACTACTACTACTACTACTACTACTACTACTACTACTACTACTACTACTACTACTACTACGACTACTACTACTAATACTACTACTACTACTACTACTACTACTACTACTACTACTACTACTACTACTACTACGACTACTACTACTACTACTACTACTCCTGCTAATCATTAACTATCACTCCTATGACTACTATCACTACTACTAACGAAAACAATGATACAAGCAATGAGAATATAACAGCATATTAATAACTACGTCGACTAAGGCGACGACTACTACCACCTCGAAATCCTCAAGCCTACGCTGTACTTCAGACACCCACGTACACTGCGGCTACATTCTGCCGGTGGGCACTCCGGGGAGGTCGTGATATCTGGGAGGGGGGATATTGATGATGATGATGATGGCGATGAGGGGTATCACATCATCGTGTTATTCATAGTCATCTTAACCTCCATCATCATATTGACCATCATCTTCTTCATCTTCACCAAAACTGGAACCATCAACAACAGCATCATTATTGTCACCATCAGCAACAACATCATCATCACCATCGTCGCTACTGTAGCAAACATTAGTTGAATTTGTCCTTGCATATTGTGGAGCTGAACACGTGGCAGCGAAATTCATGCAGTGCCCGGAGTTAGTTCGCCGAGCCTGGCACCTCTTAGGCCCTTCTTATGTACCAAAGGCTCGAAGCAGACGGTCCAAGAAGCGGAAACGGCTGGAAAGGGATACGCTAGAACCGCCAGACCAGAACACTCGATCTCTGGAATCGAAGACAGTTTGAGTGCTCTGGGTCATGAGATCCGTTCTTCCTCTTTGCTGGCTCTGCCTATGTCAACACCGCCTTTTGGCGGAAAGGGTGAGACGAACGGGCTGGTGTCTTTGCCACACAGCCATCTATCCTATGCCCGAGTTCGGTAACCCTGCAACCAATTCGACTGTCAGCAGCAGAAGCAATCGTTGAAGTAGCTGCACTTTACTGAACGCAACAAATTTAACAAAGGGCCTCAAGTACGCGGAAAGGGTTTGGGGGATACTATCGCTGTATAAAGACTGCCTTTAAGGGAATGGTTTGCTACTCATTCAAGCCCCTTTTCGCAACCCGAAATCCTTCTTTCTACCTCTTCCCTAGCAAACTGGTCTTCGTGCTTCTGAGAGAAGGTGCACCTCAGCAACAACTGTGCAGGCTGCATGGAGATCTAGATACCTCTCCCAAACTGAGCCACGACTCGCCTTGAAGAATCATAACAGCTGCGACTGCGAAATAAAGGCGGCTCGCTGAAACCATTTGCACATGCGAACTTGGTCCTAGGTTCAGCATGACATGGCCCTGCGATGTTCCACGTAGTTGCCAGCTGGGTTCCTTGCTTCTGCTCTTCTGCATTTCCTTGTGCATCTCCTCCAAGCGAATGGATCCGTTGCGAGACTTGGGTGTGGCAAGGAGGAGGCCTTTGATCATATGACGGTAGTCATCCACGCAAAGGCCCTTGAACCCATGCAACTGAGTGCGAGCACGCAAAAGTAAACAGTGGGCAAGCGCGAAACGACCCACGCCTGTCCGCACCGATACACCAAGCAACCCAAGTTCGCCTCTGACCCATAACCCTAAACCTTTGCAGATGGCAGGTCTTCATTCTTGCAGCAAGCGCAGACAGCAGGCCGGAGCACAGAGGTCCATCGATTGATAATCATCATCACCGTCTTTGTCACAGTCATCGGCACCACCAGTGGACCACAACCGGCAGCAACATGAGCATCATCATCATCATCATGACGCATGATCATGATGCTTCATCAGATAATGATGACCGTCGTCTTCATCATCACCACCTGGAGTGCGAGTCATCGTCAACAGTATGGTGATAAGTAAGTAATGAGAGCCGTCATCACGTTCGAAATCATCGTTCATACTGACATCAGCCGCGCTCTCTTCATACTCACCATGATCCTCAGGGGCCGTGCCTGCTAACGAGACGTAACTTGCAATGACGCCTCTGTTGCTCGCGACACCGTCTGCCAGAAACAAACCCTCTGCGGCTGGACTGCTCAACGTGCGGTTTACCCATAGGCCCCAAAGTAGTTCCTTTTTGGGATTACCTTACAGGATTCTATGTAGGAACCCCAAAAAAGAACTACTTTGGGGCCTTTGGGTAGGTTTTAGGGCTGGAATCTGGACTCCTTCGTCTGCCAGTCCCTGCCAGTTGCTGTGCGAATGGGAGGACTGCACATTCGGGCGATCACCCCGAGTCGTTCACACCTCCAGTCGCCCCTAAACCCTAAACACTGCAGCTAAAGCCGCGTTTTTCACGCCTCCAGTAGCACTCCCCGAAGACCGTAAACTGCAAAACCCGACAAAACACACACACACACACATCCCCCCAAACAGTATACACTGTTTAACCTGTTTGGAGACGATAAACCCTAAACCTCAAAACCACTGAAGAACCCCCAACCAAAACTCTCCACCCTACTTCCCGAATACCCTAAACCCTGAACCCTAAGCCCCCAAACCGAAACCCTAAAGTGAACTTCCCCAATTCCCTAAACCCCGAACCCCTAAACGCCAAACCCAGAGGCTCTAAACCCCAAACCCTAAACCCTAAATCCAAAACCCCTAAACCCCAAAACTCTCAACCCTAAACCACAACATAAATCCTAAACCCCCGAAGCCCAAACCCAAAGCTCTAAACCCTAAATAAGCCCAAAACTCTAAATCCTAAACCCCCAAATCCCAAAGCTCCAAACTGAACCGCCCAGGCCTGGCGTTCGGCCTCGAAAGCCAGCTCCTCCACTCCAAAGGCAGAGGAGATCCGAGTTGAATTGCTTGGGGACTTAGGGAATTAGGGAATTAGGGTTTAGGGCTTAGGGTTTAGTTCCCAGAAGAGATTAGAGTTGAATTGCTTGAATTTATTTTTTTTCAGGGTTTAGGGTTTAGAATTTAGGGTTTAGTTGAGTTTGAGGAACTACGGTTGATGATATAAATCCTGCATTACCCATAATAAGGAATATGCCATGATTCCCATAGCTTAGGGTCCTGAAGCTAATGCAGGATTTATATCATCAACCGTAGGGTTTAGAATCTAGGGTTTACTTGAGTTTGAGGAACTAGGGGTTAAGGTTTAGGGTATGAGGGTATTAGGGTTGAGGGATCAGGAAATTAGGGTTGAGGGTTTAGGGGGGAATTTGGGTTGAGGGATGTATTGTAAGCAGGGTTGAGGGTTTAGGGGTTTAGGGAGTTAGGGAATTGGGGTTGAGGCTTTAGGGAGTTAGGGTTTAGGGAGTCAGGGTCTAGAGTTCAGGGTTTAGGGTTTAGGGAATGAGGGAAGTAGAGCCAGATCAGGGCTCTGTCGGCTTTATCAGCGTGTGCGGTGTGTTTGCTAAGCTTCAAAGAAGCTTCCGATGTTGCTGCTTTGACCTCTGATTTAGAAGCCTCTGTTCTTCGCGATAAGGGAGCTTGAGCTTATGGAGCTTGCTCCGTTACGGCCCTTAGGCCTCCGCTGCTGGATAGGGCTGGGCTTCATGCGGGCTCCGCAACTAAAGACTCGTCAGACTACGACATGTGCCAAGCACCGGTTCAGGTACCTCGATTACCAGTAGTTGCACGTAGGAGAACAGGCGGCTCGTGGCAAAAGGCGTGAATCCTGAGTTCGATCGTGTTGGTTCGAACCTGGCCCGGAAGCCTTGTTCAAGGTTCGTATGTAACACTCGACAAGAGACCACGCTGACGGCGAGGGCCCCACCATAGCTCAGCTGGAAAACCTGTTTCTGATCCTTCAGTTCTCGATATGTAGAAAATACACACTGCCGTAAACCCGCCACCAAACCTACCGGAACACTGTTGCAGCTGACAAACCCACAAGTTAAAAAATCACTAAACCCTACCAGAAACCCCTTGACCACTAATCTGAAAATCCTATCCCCCCCCCACCCCCACCCCCCGCACCCCCGCACCCCCGCACGCCCCCAACAGCATTGAACTTGAAGTAGAGTCCAGCGACCTCCTGTAGCCCAGCGCAGCCTCTTGGACACAGCAATGCCTGACCAACAGGATGGTGAAGAAGCTTTACAAAGAAGCTTCAAGTACCAGGACCCTCCTTGTACCCTCAAATAGGGGTATATGGTCCCAAACAATGGGCACTTAGGGTCTAATAGGGGGTAGATGGAGGTTCAAGCAGGAGTCATAGATTCACTGGGGTTGAGTCTATAGTAAAGCTGATCAAGTTTAGGATCTCCGAAATCGGAAGACAGCCCAACACGTTGCACGTCCGCATGACCTCGTACCCCTATGCTGAACCAAACAATCTCGGGTTCGGAACCGGACAGACTGTCGACCTCAAGGTGAGAAGTACCCGATAGAGGTCTCTGAGTCCCGAGGACCCCGCCCAGAAGCCTAAACCCCAAACCCAAAGCCCGAACCGAAATTTTATAGTCACTAAAGGCCTATATCATAGAACCCTTAGCGTAACCCCAAACTCGACGAGCCTTAGCGCGGAGTGCTCGCATCGCCGTACCTTTCACGACACCTGGCAGAGTTTGAACATGCTAGAAGATGCATCGAATTGGTTGAATACTGGGACCACCGACTGCTGACTAACATTCTCACATCTCTCCAGATCGTAGCACCGTTAACTTCAGGAGCAGTCACGAGGCCAGTTGCATTGGCTGAACATCTTGCACTCTCGGACCAAACCAGCAACGGAAACCACAAGTTCTGCTCACGTCCCGCCTCAATATTCTCATCACTGGCTTTGCTTCTTTTCAAGTGTTTTTGTTGCAGAATGGTTGTTATCCTGTCGTTCTCCTTACATCTTGTGGGTCGCCAGCCAAGGATAGTCTTGCTTTGGTCGGCTAAGGATTGCTATGCCATGGGTCCTGGTCTGGAGGTTCCCCCCTTTTTGCACGTGTTTCTATCTATCTGTCTACATGTCTGGCTGTCTATCGGTCAATCTATCAATCTCAATGCAAAAACCTCAACCAGTATCTCTATCTACATCTCTCTATCTGGCTCTCTATCCGTCTGTCTCTCTGTATCAGTCTCTACCGATCTCTATCAATCTCTGTCTATCTCAATCTATCTCAATCTGCCAATACATCAACCAGTCTATCTATCGGTCTATCGATCTATCAACCTATCTATGTACCTATCCTGGACCCTATACGCCTGTGCGTCTTAGTAGCATTGTGTATTTCGACATATTCCGATGTCCTGCACACATTTTTCTCGTGGGCATATGCCCGAATACTGTACTTGTAGGTGCCCTAAATCCGGAACCCTAAGCCCTGAGCCCTAAACCCTTAAGCCCTAAACCCCTAAAGCCCGAATACGCCCTGGCCTTTCGGAGGCTCCTTCCAGAAGCTCTTCCGGTTCTCGTCACCCACGATGATGTCGCTTGCGAAACTGCCCAGATCGAGCTGTGGTGTGGGATGTGAAAGCTTCTAGGGTTTACTGTTTAAGGCCGGTGCAAACCGTTCACAACAGTGCAGTCACAACAATGGAGTTCCAAATGCAACCGCAACAGTATAAGGCGGCAGCGAAACAATAAGCCCATGGACAAAGCTGTTAATTAAGCTGTTTGGGTGGCCAGGACGGACCTGGAAGCAACCCAGCCCTAGAGTCCTAGAGTTTGAAGGTGTGTGAACCGCTGTTTCGACACTATGAACACTGCAGTTCAGCCAGACGACCTCGCGCAACGTTGGATGTGATGATGGTGGAGAGGGCGACGACTGATGATGACGATGATGATGGTGGTGCTGATAAGGGTGTGGTGATGATGTTGATGATGATGACGACATTGCTGCTGGTGCCGGAGCAAATGCAGGTGCTGGGCATGCTAGTGCTACGGTGAATGGTAATTACTTGGCAGCATGCTTACATGATTCGGTTCAGAGTGCAAGTGGTAGCGCTGTGTCGCTTAGGGTGCCGATGTGTGGTGAGAACCATGTCAACACTAATTATCACCAATTTCCTTGCTCACCTATGGTCGGAAAAATCCACAGTGTTGTGATGCCTGTGGTCGACCATACCTGCATGACACTCACTGGAATCTTCATCAGCAGCAAGACACATCATCATCAAAAGCAGCATCACGAAGACCGCTGTCTTAGCATCTCCACGATCGTCAGCCCGGTTATGATAAAGTTAACATATAGCAAAATGTAACACGATATAGCATAGTCTACTGTAACATAATATACAGCTCTAAATCCTGGAGATCCACCCCGAAACGATAACGGAACATGACGGAACCAGTTACAGTATACATAACTATGCTTTTCGGCTATGTTATGTTACATTCTAGTATACCGTAATATATTATTGTCAAAATATATTATACTCATACTGTTTCCTAACACTACATCAGGCCTCAAGGCTTTGTCCGGCTGGGTGATGTGCTCACCAATGCCCGTCTCGTAGTAGAAATCCTGCTGTAGTTCACTCTTTTGATTTCCGTCGATGGGGGGTGGGGGGGTCGCCCCTTTTCGGACGGTTCTTCATGCTGGAATTAGGGTTACCTCTACTACTGCTACTACTGCTACTGCGTCGGGAGCACATGTCATGTCTGGCCATCTAGCAAAACGCCCTCACAGAACACCCTGTAGAAGTCGGCCTGCACCAATCTGCAGAGAACCCCAAGAGAATCAACCGTCAAACCTGACAACAACGCAAGCCCTTTACACGAGGCGCCTTTCTCCTAAACCCAAAATCCGAAGCTCCTAAGCCCAATATCCGAAGCTCACCCCTAACACGCAACAAACCCATGCCCTACAGACTACAACCCCAACAAACCCCGAATCGTCAGCCCCTACCCCGACCCGGCTACCCAACACTGCCGTGATTGTTCATGGCCCCGTCCTTTGGTTTGAAAGGCTCAGGCTTGGAGAAATACTCGTGGGTGTAGACACGCTGTTCTGTCCAGGCCTGAAAGATGTATGTCCCTATACATATTATATATATATATATGTATATACAGATATGCACACACACATAAGATAGTCACAGATTTCCAAACTTGATGTCGCTTACTCATGCTTATCTTGGTGCTTATGCGCCAACACATGGATATGCATAGTCATAGTCTTGTCATTGTTGGTAAGGTTGCCACTTTTGCTGTTATACTGTTCGGTTTACCGTTCTAATTAATCCGTACTGTTCGTCCAAGGTGTACCATATTGTGAGTATGATTCTGATTCTTATTGTTATTAGTATTGATTAGCATCATTACTACACTCATCAGCCTATCAATAGTACTCTTCTTGTTAAGGGGAGCACCAGCATCTACATGACGGCCGCCCGAAGTATGTAAGCAAGCAGAGGCAAAACAAGTACATAGGTTCAGCGGCACTCAAGAGCCGTGCAGTTCATATTCCAGCTATATACACTGTACGAAAACACTCGCACCGCTCTGGCTCGCGGTTTCGGGAAGAAGGGGTTAAACATTGGGGATTTTAGGGCGTGCAGAGCTCATCGAGATGTGATTCTTGAGTTCAGGTTACCTGGTGTCTTAAGCAGCAAATGATGGGAAGTGGCACTGAAACTGACTGTAGATGCTCTGCCGGAGGGCCAAGGACACGGATGAATCTACTTATTCGGTATGCCCACAAGTTCTCAAGTCTAAACCCTCCGCATACTGCATACGCTAAACCTGACAAGCTGTGGGATGTCAGTCAGTTCTTGGAAGCTGTGGCTGACTACGATTGGGAGACGAGGGTGTAAGACCCTGAAACTCTGCACCCGCAACAAGGGATCGAGGAGTCGGCATCGGTGACCACAGGGATGGAGTTGCTCTTGTGAAGTTTGGGATCTACACTATTATTGCGTCTACACTACACCCGAAAATCCTGATCGTACCCTCAAAGGAATCCTAAAACAGCAACCGCTTAAAGACGCTGAAGGGAACCTGAAATGGAAACACCTGCCAGGCCAGAAGAAACCAGGTCAGGTGCCGGTCTTTCCCGCTTCAGGCAAGAGAATGGATCTGCGTTCTCCTACGCCCAGCTTTGTGTTTGGAGGTTCCGGGTGGTGGCTCAGCTTCGGAAATGTCCTTTCAAATCTAAAAGAGGTTTGGGCCTATAAGCATGAAAACCCTACTGCTATAAGGAGCCTCATGTACTTGATTACGGCTCCGCGGCATACAGCAGAACGGTGCATAACATTATGGTTACGATAACTTCCACTAAACAACTCGACCCCTATGTTGCCTTATCTAAGGGCAATGAGGAGAAGGGATCCTGCTATTCGGCTCTTGCCCTTCTTTTCTCCGAAACTCCTGGCGCGGAGTTGTACCAAGAGACGCGAAAACCTCTGACTCTAAGTACGGGAATGTGCCCGAAAAGTTCATCAAGGATCGCGAGTAATTGGTTTCAATAGCCGCATTTCAGGGGACTGAAGATACCTAGGATGCCCAGTGACCTAGGAATTAAAAAGGGCTGCCTTCTTGGTATTGGGTAACTTTAATTATAAGGAACCTAGGACTACAGAAAGGGAATAAGGGTACTTCTGGGCATCCTAGATACGGTTGAGGTCCAGCGTTTAGGGATCCTAAGCCCTCCGCCGCCATTGCAGGTGTGTAGTGCACGTATGGATGTTTCGCATCTGGCAGACTCTCAAGGTGAGGGAGTTCGAAACTATACTGAACTTAGAAACCTAGCAAAAATTATGATTTTAGCCGTTTCTTAGGGATTATAGTACCAAAAATTGAAAAACTATATCTAAGTACCCCTAAGGAAAGGGGCTTGGAGAGACGTCGCACATGGGTCAAGCTGATCCGGGTAGTGTTCCGAGGCATCTTGCTGCTTTTTTTTCGCAGATGGTACATATAAGAAGCACCTCAGACGCCCTCTCCGAGCCCCAAACCCTAAACCCTAAACCTCACAAACGCGTTACAGCGATCAAGTGACGGATGACCTACTAGGCGTTCACAGCGATAAGCACTCAAAAGATCCTAGTTCAGAACAAATCACAAGGTGTGGTAGCACACCGGTTCCTACACTCGACTAGAACCGACTGCGACGCAACACGAGAATCGAAACCTGTCAAACACGGCATCCCGGCTTCGCCAGATGTTCGTGCTTTTGAAAGTTCTCTGGTGCTCCTCCAGCCTCTTCTTCTTGAGGGCACCGTACCTGAAGACCACAGTAGGTAAGCTAGGCAAGATTGAAGGTCTGTGCAGGGGGTGTGTGTGGGCCGGACTGAAGACGAACATGGCACGGTGTCTGCCATGTTATGGGTGAAGAGCACGCCAGACGTCAAATCAGGAGAATAGGCTTCCCGAGAAACCAGGGGTTTCGCGAGAAGCTCAAATACGGAAGCCTGAGTGATTGCTTCGGGTTCCCTCATGTAAGTATAGAGCGAGTTACCCCAAAACCCCGTTTGGGAACTCGACTTCTGATTATTCGGAGAAGGCGGCTGGTCTGCTGCAGGGTGGTTTTAAGGTTTTCGGAGAGGTTAATACATTACTCTTGTAAGAGCTCTGTTTAAAGTCCGGTTCCGGCGGGCATACCTGACGGGTACCATAATTTTGGGCTTGTTCCATATGCTTTGGGAGCCTCAATCATCAGAGTACATATTCTGTGGTATGTTATGCTGGACAAGTGCAAGAAAGAAGCCTGGAGTAACTAACTGAACCAGCTTAGTCCGACACCTTTTGCACATCAATGCTTCTTGTCATGCAAGCCTTTCCTCTGGCAGTGTTTAGCAACCCGACGGAACTTTAAACGGGGACGCCCTGCTACCTGCTAATTAGACACTAAACCCTAGAACAGCTTCACTGAACTTGGAGCCAGCGGCTTTTGCTCTTGATCTTGCTTCTCCAGTGCCTTTGCCTCGCCAAGATGTAACTGTCAGGTGTAGAGTTTAATGTTTAGGTGCGTAGGCACGTAGGGGTTTAGGGGTTTACGGGAGTCAGGTTTGCTGCGAAACTGGACTTCGAGCAACCCCAGACAAGCAATAAGCCCCGTAAACCCTAAACCCCTAAACCCGGGGCACTCAGTCAAAACGAACCATCCCAAACCCTAAACCCTAAACCCTAAACCCTAACCTGAACAGCCATTCGCCCGAAAGACCGGAAACCTGTACATGCAAAACCACGACTTCGAGATCTATACCGGCTTCAGGCTCTCATTTTCAAAAAACCCTGCGCTTGGAACCATCGCAAAAAACGATACGTTCACGATTCTAAGCTCTCTTGGGTTTTAGATGAACAGCCATACAGGTTCTCAGGGAGAGTCTCTTGGGTTTTAGATGAACTTTATAAGAAGAGTAGAGTTTTCAGCATGGGAGTGAGTTTATGACTTTGCACCCGGAGCGGTACTGTCGGGACTGGCGGACTCTCGACTGCTAACGCTTCAAGGGAGCCAAGGGAGTTTCCGAAAATAGGGGGACCCTAATACGCTAAATAACAGGGTCCTCATTAAGGTACCCCTAATTTTCGGAAACTCCCGCACTGCTAAACAGCCGCAGAGATAGAAACTTGGAGCGTTGCAGGTCTGCGTGGTCGATTCCTTGTTTCATTAGCGGTGCAACTCGGGTGTGAAGTAATGTCAATAGTGATGATGACGATGATGATGGTGGTGATGATGATGTTATCCCTGAAACGAGCAGTTACATCCACAATCCCTACCGCTAGATCATCGACCGCTGGCACCATCAACCTGTCAGCCCGAACCCTGGAAACCTAAAACCTCTATCCCTGCACCCTGAAACTATGCGCCCGAAGCCCTGAATTCGTATAGACCCTGAACCCTGTCGTTACAAACCCTAAACCCCATGCATGGTACCCTCACTCGTGCGAGCCTTCCGCAACTTCCGCTCGAGACCTTGGCTGCGAAAGAGCCACTTAGAGGATCATGGGACTTAGTAACTAGGGTTAGAAGTTAGGTAACTATACTTATAACTACTTCTAACCCCAATTATTGGTACTTATAACCTTACTTACTAAGTCAAATCATCCTCCAGGTAGGGTTTAGGGTTCAGGTCGAGAACTGGGCTATAGTCCAAGGGCACACACTCGGAGTTTCGAGGTGCCTAAGGCCCCCTGGGCTTTAATTAAGGGCCGTCCTGATCAGTTGAAATAGGGTTTAGGGTTGGGCAAGGGGTATGGGGTTTAGGAAGAGCGAAGGAGTTGCTTCTGCGAGTAGTCCAACTCCTACACTGGGTTTGGGTGGCGGTTTTGGCTGGCCTTGGACGACTTGGGGTGACAGGCTTGGAGCAAGCCGGGCAGACAGACTGTACACGGAGCTCTGTTTTGCTGCATCCTTACAAATCCTAAACCTATACCCCTGTGTTGGATTTAGGTTTACCTGTCTTCTTCAACAACCGGGCCCCAAAAAGTTCAAACTTTCTAAGATAGAGCTAATATATAAGGCCACAAAGTTTAAAGTTCCCCCGTTCACTATCTAAGTTTCGTGTCTTACATTGCAGGCTGGAGGTGTCGCCCATCCGATTGCAAAGCGTGGTGTAGCACGGCCGAGGTATACATTAAGACATATGGGTGGTTGTCGAATTTAGGGTCCCTTTTTGGGTGATAAGGACCTACAAGGGGCCCTAGTTTTGACAACCACCCATATGACATATGACTACACTGAGTTCTTCTCGACGCCAGCACGCCGAGTGGTTTTTGGTTCAGCTGCGTGGACCTCTTGGAGGGCGATCCAGGCGACACCAAAACACGCTTCAAATCCTAAGTTCGAGTATCGATGCCTTTAATTAATTCAGATCCCAGACCCTAAGCCCTAACTCTGCAAGCCTAATATGTTGCAGCCTGTAGTTCAGACCAAACCCCAAGAAGCTGTGCACCGCGTTGTCATAAGCTTCGCGCGCTCTTGGTACATCTTTGCCTTGGGATCCAAAGGCTTCTCCTGTCGTCAAGATGCCGAGATTTGTCTAAAGAGGTTTAGGGCTTAGAGTTGGGGGTCTAGAGTTTAGGGTTTAGGGTTTAGAGTTTAGGCTTGGCTTAAGAGGGTCCCGTTCAGCTGGGGTTTGCAGAGTTCAGAACCTCTTGGATTCCAGCTCCACCTATAGTCTCCATTGTAGTTCCTTGTTTTGGGTTATCCAAATTCTCTATTATAGGTTCCTAACCATAAAACTGGCTAACCAGAAAAAGGAACTGCAACTTGTTTTGGCAGTTTCGGAGCAACGGCCGAGGGCTCAGCACTCTACTTCGTCGAAGTAGTAGCAGTAGCAGTAGCAGAATGCCCAAATCAGAAAAACCCAGGCCATGTATGAAACACCAAGCACTACTACGACGTGTACCTCTTATAAGGTAATGTAGAGGCTATAGTGTGTTCAAGAAGGTATTATATATACGGTTTGTAGGGGATATTCTACTAGCCGAAATTGTAAAGGTAACACCGCGAGCAATGAACCTCGGAGGCTTCGCGATTTAGATCGCTACTCCTGCACCTTTCAAGGAGTTCAAGGACGACCAGCGCTAAGTATGAATAGCTTCCTCTTACCTCTGGCCATCGGGGTAACTAAACATGCATGATTTGGCATCTTGAAGGGCATTTTCTAGAAACAAGTACCTAAGCAACGACACAACAACGCCACCTGAGGCCATGCTAAAACCGAAGCACACCTGCACTTATGCGGGGTTGCGAAGGAAACATGAAACACACTACCTACCCCCGAAAACTTGCCCTCAAACCCATCGCGAGCTGCTGCCTTAGCATCCTTGGCCAAGCTCTGGGACGAAGCAAAAGGGGCCCTGGGAAAGAGGAAACGGTCCTAATGTAGGGGCCTTCATCATCAGAAGCCGCTTTGTCCTTTTTGGAAGGGGGGGTCACAATAATACCCTACCCTATACTCAACCCCTAAACCCCTAAACCCTGAACTATGCAGGTATAACAGCCCTTGTGATTCAGGCTACATTTGGGTTCTCTGCGGCAGCTGCGGCTCTTGAAAGAAGGAGGTTTTGGATTTCTTGGAGGTTCATGGGACTTAGTAAGTAAGGTTATAAGTACCTTAATTGGGGTTAGAAGCAGTTATAAGTATAGTTACCTAACTTCTAACCCTAGTTACTAAGTCCCATGGTCCTCCAAGTTAGGATTTCGGGATTCCCTGGTTGAGGATTTAGGGTTTAGGGGGTTTAAGGTTCAGGGTTTAGGGCAGTTTAGGGGTTTAGGGTTTAGGGCGTTTAAGGTTCAGGGTTTAGGGGTTTAGGGGTTTAGGGTTTAGGGTCCTGGGGTCAGCTTGCTGTATGTGAATAGGAAGATGTCATTTTCATCATGCCCGTCGGTGCAGTAGCGGTCGGGGCACCATGAATGGCACCATCCCTGCTCAACTAGAATTGCTTGAGCTAACACCCTTAGGCCCTTTTAGCCCTTTAGATACCAAACCCGCGAAACACCTTTGGGAGCCTAGAGGCCCCCTCACCCTCAAGAAATCCAAAATCCTGAATAACATAGGAGTAAACACTATCCTAATTGCTATACCCCAAACTTAGCCTGCAACCCTAGGGTTTAGGGGTTTGGGGTTGAGGGTTCTTGGCTCTTCTTGGGCACGCCTGCTCAGGAGCCTATAGTAGGGATCTACGAATCCATGTGTCGGAGTGAAGCTTCAATCGAATCTCGGAGTAGTTGTATCGCCGTGGCACGCGCTGAGCACCCAGCCATCCGCCGAAGGTGTCGAACTCCCAGTGTGCCGGCTTGTCATGCGGCGTGTCGAAGATGCCCCTGACACTACACACTTCATAACCCATGGAGCATGCGGGACCCATTGAACAGTTCCACTGCCTATTTGGGTGGGGTTCTATACTGCTGCTTTAAACGACCGTAGAAGCTTCTAAGACGACTTCAGGTTGGTGTTCGGCCTTGGCTTTCCACCTCGCAATAAGCATCCTGATTTTTGTTTCCCACAGGCCCTCAAGTTATGAAGTTGTAGATTGCTTCCAGGGGCTAGTTCCACCTCGTTCGAAGAACTCACCCGGCCCTACGGTAAGACGTCAAGTATGGCTCAGGCAGTGGAGTCCAAACCGAACTCCATCCCTAACCCTTGGCCCTGTAATCAATCAAGGGCCGGACATGAGCAAGTCGTTCTTGTGGAAGGTGTTCGATGCTTCCCTGGCATGCGATATAGATGTCAGGCTTGGCAAAGCTCGCCTAAGCTTACCCATGAGTTGCAATCTGCCCCGCATCGAAATTGCTGCAGCTACCCACACTTCCAGCCAAGTGCCAATCCAACAAGTCGATGCAGCGTCCCCGGCTGCTACGATCTAAAGGATAACCCTCTTGCTGTGGGTCATCCTGAACAAATGACGGGAACTCTTTGGATAGCCTCATTGCCTCAGGCACCGCAGGCAAGTCAAAGCTAGGACAACTCCCGGTTCATGTTTTGTACCCAAAAAGAACACAAAACCTACCCCACTGAATCCATCGTGCTCAAAGATTAACCGTCCCTCCTGTCTGTCCACCGATTGCCTAAATCACGTTATTATAGCTCGACTGGTAAGGTTTCTGGGTTCAGGGTTCTGGGTTGATACATTGATGAAGAAACGACTTCTTCGAGCGCATGGAAATCCGATTGTGGGAGTAAAAACCCTGCACCCAATAAACTGAAACTGGGACAACAACCAGGGTGTGACAGTCCCATAGAAGCCGTTATACATGTCGAGCAGTGTTTTCGGGTATATTTTGTGATAAACTGAAGCAGGCATAACATTACATTGGTAATCCATTAATTTCGCCACAATCGCCTGCTCGATGGAGAGGCCTGGGTACATCCTGAATCCTAAATCCGAAACCCGAAACCCTAAATCCCATCACGAAACGCTTGTCTAACCTCAATGCGTGGGCTTCTTCAACATGTGGAACCCCTCTACCCGTCGCTATGAAGAGGTTCCTACACTATCGAGTACATCATCTCTCGAAGATCTCTCGAAGATCCTGCTCTCACCACTTTGCGCCGAAGCCACTGGACTGAGAGTCCCGGCAACCTGAAGTCTCACCATAGGAGCTTCGTAAGGCTACTTGCAAAACAAACAACCTCCGGTCTCGAGTCATGCTGTGGCAAAAAAAGTTCGAACATCCCTGCGACGATTGTGTCGCAACCGACAAGCGTGGCGCTGTCTGCATAAGAAGCCCTGGACGCGGCCGCTCAAAGTATTCCATGGGCTCCGGATAGTTCCATGGGGGCCTGAGCTGGGCGACGAATCTCTGCAGACCCTCGATTCGAAACTCGAAACCCCAGCCCCAAGGCTTGAACGTCCTAAACTCTATTAACCACGGTCCGTGTACCCTGAAATCAACAGTATACTGCAATATACTATGGCACAATATGGAAAATCATTCATGGTATGCTACATCAAATTCTGTTGTACTATAACCTTGCATCTACACACATGTAGACTCATGGCGATATAGGGTAAATAGATAGAACGAAAGATAGATCGACAGATAGATCGATAGACCGATCGATAGATTGAAGACCGACAGACAGATCGATGAACCGATAGATGGACAGACTGGTAGATCGATAGACAGATGGATGGATGGCAGGCAGGCAGGCTGGATGGATGGCTGGATCGATAGATGGACAGATGGACGGATAGATGGATCGATAGACGGTTACAGGTGTAGACAGATGGATAGGTAGATGGATAGGAAGACAAGGAAGATAAGTAGATGCAGCAAGATAGATGGAAAGATAGACAGAGAGACAGACAGACTGAGACATAGCTGGGTAGACAGGCTTGACCGACAATCGATACAGTAGATGATAGATTTCGTTAGATATGATAGATGGATAGATAGACAGGTAGATAGACAGGCAGACAGATAGATAGATTGACCGATAGCTAGACAAAAAGATGGATATAAATAGATGGATGTGCCTTCTTGGTTCTGCTTCTGACGATTGCAGCCGTTCCTTATTTTGCTCTGATGGACCGTGTAAATTACGGCCCCCATTCTCAGTCAAGTGTCCCTCTGTGTCAAAATACAAAGCGCACATGTCAAAGTCTCAGCTGTGCTCTTGCCAATCCCTGCGCAAGCAATCGGTGATGAAGCATGTTGCGCCGCTGCATTTGCATGTACATGCATATGACATCAGTGCAGGACTGTTACGCAACTATACCTGCAAAATCCTTCGGCCTCGTATTTCCAACCGAAGAGGGTTCCGGCAACCGACTTGGATGTGTCCAGGTAAAATAGACTGCAGGCTGAACTCCTCTTTCTGAGTCTTCAGGGGTTCGATCGGTTTGATGAGTAGGGTTTAGGGTTTAGGGTCTAGGGTCTATAATGTAAGATCATTGAAGCTGGAATGAAGCATCGTCACGCATTGAGAGATGATGTGGGAGCTTCCTAAAATAGGGGACCCTAATATAGTACCCCAAATAGTAGGATCCTCATTATAAGGACCCCCAAACTAAGGTACCCCTAACTTTCGGAAACTCTAAACCCTAAACCCTTTATAGAACCCTTATAGATCCCTTAAAGGTACTCTTATAGATCCTCATAATGTCGGAAACGCCCTAATTTTCGGAAACGCCCTGATGTGGACGAGAGCTGGTGTGGCCCATTGAGCCCTTCTGCTCTAAGGCCGGCAGCACCCATCCCCTTTGCACCGTCTGCTCAGCTTTTACCTTATTTTGGCGTCCTTCTAATTTTGGGGTCCTTCTAATAAGGATCCTACTATTCGGGGTACTAGATAAGGGTCCCCTGTTTTCGGAAACTCCCATATGTGTGTACATACGCACACGTATGTGAAACATTGCAGACTCATACTACTTCCCATTTACTCAGTCTGAATTCAAGCAACATGCCAGCTCACTCACTCCAACATACCCTGAACTTGAATGCCAAACCCCTCTGCCCCTGGGGCCTAAACCCTAAACTCCTAAACCTCCCGAAACCCCAAAAACACTAAACCCTAAACCCCTAAGCCCTAACCCCAAACCCCTAAACCCCATAACCCCTAGCCCGAAACCCTATAACCCCATAAACCCTAAAACCCTGAACCCCTTAACCCCCTACCCTTAAAACCCCAAACCCATAACGCCCAAACCTAAAAAAACACGCTGGGCACCTGACTTCTCCGCCTGCAGGGACACTGCACGCTCTGACCGGCGATGGGCCTCGCCTTTACCACATAGTGACATAGTGGGGGAGGTGGCTTGGGGTTTTAGGCTCCTTTCGTTAACAGGTTCCCTGTGAGCCTTACTGCTAGGGCTTCTGTTAAGGTTTGTATGAAGGCCTTTCCTTTTATTCAACTGGTTCCTTCGAAGGGTTACTACGAGAGTTGCTAGAGGGTTTGTCCTTAACAACGAAGATAGGGTTTCGGGGTATAGTATATTACCAGGCCACTGTAAGGGCATCTTACTAATATTCCGACCTCCGCATGAGGTACTTGGAGCATCGTTGGAAGTAGTAACTAAGGTTATAAGTACCTTAATCGGGGTGAGAAGTAAATACAAGTATCGATGCCTCATTTCTAACCATAGTTACTAAAAACAAATCTCTTCGGTTAATATTTAATGAACTCTTAGTGTCAGCTCTTTGAACAAAATCTTGCATCAGTGCTTAAGAGTTGTTGTCCTGAAAATGTTGCGTCGTTTTCTACACTGTTTAACTTCCTATACCGCCTACTACTAAATGATATGAAAAGTTATGCTGCCTTCCTATTCCTACTGTTGCTGCTGTTGAGCTTCCTATGCTTAATCTATGATCGCTTCCTGTGTCGTGTAAACCGCCTGTCGGCACTGCGATTTTTCCACTTCAAGCCTCTGAGCAATGACAAATTATAGATTTTGTTTGACTTGAGGTAGGCGCAGGAATCCAAGGGAAGCTAGTAGGTTTAGGATAACCGGATGACCACTATCACTATCCTCCGAAAACCCCATCTAATTATTGAGACACACATCATCTGGCTCAGGACATGGCGCGCACGGATCAACGCAACCTCTGACTCAATCCTCAGCTTTCGGCTGATGTTCTGGGCTCGTGGGCTTGCAGGCTTTCAGCACGGTTTGAGGGTGTCGGAGTTCCAGGCTTAGGGGTTTAGGCATAGAGTTTCGATTTCCAGGTTGCAAAAAAAACACATCCTTCTACTGCGACGGACCAGGGAATAGGTTTCAGGAGTTCGGGGTCCGCCGATTGCTTTGGGCGAGGGTTCGGGTTCAAACTTTCCGACGGCCGTGAGCAGGTTCGCGGGCGCCGACAAAATGCTAGCTGGGCTTCGTTGCTTGGTCCAGGCCAGGGGGCCATAGCAAGAACAAGCTCTTGGACTGTTGCTGTGTGCTTGAGTAGTTACCTTCTCGGTCTTGGGCCGGGTATAAGAACCTTTTCCCAAACGATCCACTCGCATTAGTCTCCACTTCGTCTTTTGACCAACTCTCTCTATCCGCTTGTTGTGTACCTCTTTTATGTTCAAACGGCCCCGAGCCCTCGTTTAGCACGACCACGAAGTCACATCCGGGGCACCGCCGCTTTTGGTCCCTCTTTCGCTGCAAGACCTGCTGGTCCAGATCGTTCCTGGGAGTCGGGGATCAGGACTGGGAAGGTGCAAGAGAATTCACAGAGATGTGAGCGTTTGCATCATCACCGCATCCGTGTGAAGCACTCGAACGACTTCACCATGACTTGGGGTTTAGGGTTTAGGGGTTTGGGGTTTAGCCACAAAAAACTTCCTCCCCACATGTGGGAGTTTCCGAAAAGTAGGGGTACCTCATTATGGGGTCCTTATAATAAGGATCCTACTATTTAGGGTACTATATTAGGATCCCCTGTTTTCGGAAACTCCCACATGTCTGCTGAACAGTCGGGGACCAAACATGTCGATCTGAACTCCGATCCCCGAACCCATAACGCCCAATAATCTCTGGACCTTAGGACCCCACCCCCATGTTTCATCAGCATTAGGGGCCCAACATCATCTCCAGCCACTCCTGTCGATACTGATGACGATCCTTTGTCTCCTGCAGGGGCTTGGGAGATTGAAGATCAAGGTTTCGAGCTTGGGGAAGCGGTGGCAGCAACCTCGACCCTGAACTTAAACTAACCGGGCGTAGGGCTGAGGGTTTGGACTTTTGGGTCTACAAGCATGAGAGCACTACTATAGTGGCCGCAATCTTCGAACAATGTTTTCGGACATGTTTAAGCATCACCACTCTAACAGATGATTCCGGTCCTCACAGTTGAGTTCCAGGCAGAAAGCATGTCCCGAACAGTTCATGCCGCTCACATCAGGATTCCCGCATGGTCATAACCATCTTCTTCATCCTCGTCGTTACTGCACTGAATGATCTTAGAGCTGAAAGATCCCGGTCCGAAAGCCACAGACGACAGCCTCACCGCCTCCCGCCCCCGCCCGTGACGCGCGTGGAACCCTAAACTACACAACGCGGCTGCTTCTAGCTGCTAAGCCTAAACCCTACAGCCCTAAGTCCTCCTAAACCCGAAAGCCCAAAAGCCCGAAAAGCAATCAAACCCTAAACCCTAAAACCCTAAACTCTAAAACCGTAAACCCTAAAACCCTAAACCCTAAAAGCAATCAACCCCTAAACCCGAAAGCCAAAAGCCCGAAAGGCAATCCCAGCTTTGCTGCCTCGTGCTTGAAGAACTCTGTGCGGAGTTTCGGCTCGCTGAGCACCTCAAGAGCCGTAAAAACCCTAAACAAGCTTCCTTTAAAGGGATCTATAAGGGTACTATAAGGGTTCTTTAAAAGGGATCTGTAAGGGTACTATAAGGGTTCTATGATGGGTTTAGGGTTTAGAGTTTCCGAAAATTAGGGGTAGGTATTTTGGGGCCCGTATTAGGGTCCCCAATTTTCGGAAACTCCCATATCGCCATCAAGCCTAGACAAGGCTGTTGGGCTTGAGGACCTCCATCTCAGGGGTTTGTTGGAACCGATGTCTATGTCTATAGGGTTAGTGAGTTTTTGATTGGGGTTTAATATAGCGAAGTTTATGTTAATGGTGATTGATCGGTTACAGCAATCTTGGATGTGCTCGGGGTTGGCAATTTAGCCGTCAGGGATTTGTGTTCAGGGTTTTGGGTTGTTCTTTGTGCAGGTCATTCTGCATGCCGATGATACGGGTTGGCATATTCAGAAAAGGGGACTGCGGCAAGGAATGAGCCTGCCTGACGGCTTATCATACTTTATGTTATCATAGACTACTTGTTTTCCATTGTATTCTGATATATTCGAACATATCCAATCTGGCGCCCTCTGCTGATCACGGAGCATGTCCAGTATGAAGATGTTGCAGCACGATTCTCAGACCGGCCTGCAAATTGAGAATCTGCTGCGCAACCCTCCACCCTGGTTCAATCCGCAAACAGGCTGAGACCGCGGACCCAGCCCCAAAGCACTGACCCTGATATTACATTTATACTAAATACTACTGCATATGATATCACAAGATGCTCCATAATTGCTATCCAAGACTCTGATATACTCTACTAGATTAGGTTTTATGTACATATATATATATATACATATGTGTTGCAAAGCCCTCCGGCATTGGATGGGTGCCTGCGCGAGCCTCGGCCGCGGCATGCCACGAGGAGGAAAGTGGAGATGAGTCCTGATTGCTATTGTCGGAACCTGATTAAGAAACCCTGGGCCTATAAGCACAAAATCGCAAGATTCATATAAGGAACCCTAGATAAGGCCCAAGGTTTCTTACGTATATAACCAGGTTCCTACATTATTGTTCTGATGAAACCCACTTCGCAAAAGGATACGCCAGCGCAGATCCCTCCAAACAGCGACAGACCAGGCACCGTGTATACACCCTAAAGATCTCTGAAGATATCAAGACGACTGCCACAACCAGTGGCCACCACGACCACCGGCACCACGACCACGACTGCCAGGACGACCAGCACCACCAGGACCCCATGATGACGACCACTCCAAACATGTCCTCCCACCCCACGTATTCAAAAGGTGCTGACCATCGGCCGCTGCGCAGGAAGGCGCCCTGTGATGCCCCCGAAACAGCTCTGCCCGAAACCCTCCCTAAGCCCTAAATCCGAGGCCCGAGGCCCCCATATATATATATATACACACACACACACACACATTATATATATATATATATATATCCCCTCCCCCGGGCCCCGAAGCTGGGCCGCCCGGGCATGGAGCTCGGCCCCTGGGGCCGAATCGTCAGGTCCTCCATTCTACTCTCCTTAGGCCCTGGACAAGGGTTGAGGGTTTACAGGGAACTCCAGAAAGTTGGAATATGGTTTCATGGTAGGATACCCTAATTTACCATAGAAGGGTTAGGATAATCATATTCCAACTTTCTGGCTTCTACCTTAGGGGTTTAGGGCTTGGGGGTGTTTGGGGGGTTTAGGGTTTTGGGTTTCGAGTGTAGAATAACGGCTTAGGAATGAGGGGTTAGGGGTTTAGGGGTTTAGGGATTCGGGTCTAAGGCTTATCGGGTTTAGGGGTTTAGGGCGTAGGCTTTCGGGACTGCGGTTTCTGTGGCGTGCGGCTGCCTCGCTTGGGGTACAAACCTAGCAGGATTCTGCGAAACAGGATTCAGGGGGTTCGGGCCTGCATTAGGGGCCGAATCCTGATTAACCCTTGGAAGCCTATCACATGATCGGACTGCCGGGGGTGAGTATCCTGTCCTCTTTTGGAGGGAACGGCTCCCTGAGAGGGAGAAAAATCTCTCTAGCTATCGATCTCGAAAAGAAACTGACTTGAAACCTACCAAAACCCGAAGCCCAGTGAAGCTGTGTCAGTATTGGGGTCCAGGGTCTGAAACTGATTCAATTAGCACTCTCGGAAAAAGTAGCACCAGGTCAACGAAACGCGTCCCAACACCAGGAAAGAAGCAGATTCTGTAGCAGGAGCGGGAGCAGGAAAGCAAGAGCAGCAGCGAGCACGAGCAGCAGGAGCAGAAGCAGGAGCAGTAGCGGGTTGAGAAATAGGAGCAGTGGATGTTACTGATGGTATAAACTAACTGCGGCGATGATGACAACGACAATGGTAACTAGCAAGTTTACGGCGATGATCTGCTGATGATACTCGGATGAGATGAGCTGAGCTGGGATGAGATGCTTTTTCCAGCTTTGAGGAACATGTGAGGAGACGCTTGGTCATCGTGCTTTGAATGATCATGCCGACTGCGATGATGTTAACCATGGTTATCTACTCCGATGGTGCTGAATTATACAGTGCTCGTACTGTTATGAGTTATGACTATGACTGCTTGTATCGCTCTTCAACTCTATTTGTCCGCGTGGGCTGTTGAAGCCATACTGAACAACTGTGCACTTGCAATGCCAGCACTTTCTCGATTACATGCCACTGCGTCTGCCCTGCTCAATCAATGCTCATGATGTTTCCCGTGCTCCTACATCTACCAGCTACGACAAGCTTCCTTTTGTATTAACAACTACGGTACGCCGCCAATAGTGCCGGAAACATCGGAACAGTATCACTCAACTGTACTGCGCTCACAGTGTGACCACCACTCATTGAAGTCCCCTCCTCGACCTCCGCCATGCCGGGCCTGTGCGCAGAGTTTGGGAAGACGGTGTAGCGCTGATGCCAATGCAGGGTCCAAAGAAGCTTCGGGTTGAGGCTCAAAGCTTTGCCTGAGTTCAAGGAAAATCGGCTTGGAGGGGGTTTGGGCATAGGTACTTGTAACAGTCATGAGGACGTGTTCCTCATGCGCCGCAGCAGCTTCCCAAGCTGTCCCAAGCGTCCATTGAATGTAGTCTGCTGACTCCATGAAAGCCACTGCCACGCTTCAACTTGCCCCAACACCGTCGGGGTTTCGATGACTCGACCAATGTGAGCTTAGGCTTCGGATTGAGAGGTTTGGGGTAGCTTGGAGCGGGGTCGACTCGAACGAAGGACCGCCCTACATAGGTAGTTGTCAAAATTATGGTCCCTGTCTGAATATAATAGGTGCCGTATTACATTAGGGACCCAAAAAGGGACCATAATTTTGACAACCACCCATATGCTTAGCAGCTATGGTGGTGGTTCTCAAGGTCCTTTCTTGGGTCCTTAATATAATACGGCACCCGAAAAGGGCCCCTAATTTTGACAACCACCCCACATGGCAGAGATGTCACGGGCTACAAGTCCGGCTCTTCGACTCCAACCCCGAAGCCGCCGCGTAGCACATGATCCTCTGGGACTTTCCGAAAATAGGGAACCCCAATAGAGCACCCTAAATAGTATTAAGATACCTATAAGGGAGTTTCCTGAAAAAAGGGGACCCCAATATGGCACCCTAGATAGTAGGATCCAGGGATTATAAGGAACCCAGAATATAAGTACCCCCTAATTTTCGGAAACCCTTGACCCTTATAGAGCCCTTTAAAGGAAACCACCCTTATAGTACAGTACACTTATTGTAACCCTATAAAGGAACCCCAGGTACCCCTAATTTTCGGAAACTCCAGTCTGACCCTTGGGCTACGGCGTCTCCAAGGAGCTGCGATGGTCGGCTGCCGACTCTAAGTCTCAGACATCATAGGAATCTGAGTAAGAAACCTTGGGAGCTTGTTAGGGGTTCTGAATACCCTGGCCTTAAAGCCACCCAAAATAGTAGGATTAGGATTCATAATATGAATCCTACTATTTTCTGGGGTTTAGAGCCAGGGCTAAGGATTTCTTAATCACTGCCAGCCTTCAGAAGCTCGGAGCCTCGGACTGATCAGCGCGGCATGGCTCCGGCCAGGCGCATGGATCGGGGTCAAGCGGGATCTCGAAGCCCGTGACAGACCGCAGATGCTTTCAGTGGTCTCAATTCGACAATATGGGTGGGTGGTAGGGGGGGGGCATTTTACGGCTTCCCATCACGGGCTTGATTCATTCGGTGGTGTTTGGGGTCTTGGATTTCAGGATTTGTGACCTTCTAGGTTACTTGACGCATGGCAATCTGGTGCTGCTGGAGCACAGGAGAGCATCCCAGAGAAGCTGCGGCTCTCGGCGTTTTTAAAGGGGGTTCAATTCATAACTCATGCAATGTAGAGGGGTTTCCGGGCTCAGGGTCTAGAGGTGAGAAGGTTCTGCTTCGGGGCTCTAGAGTTTGAGAGTATTCGCCACGGCGATCTTGCGGCGATTTCGTAGCCAGAGGCAGTTCAACAAATACCAATGACTCTTCCACCTGAGTTGTAGCAAGCCAACCAAGGACACCCTGCCAAATAAACTCACGTCGAAAGCCGAAAGTTCCAATCCAGGAGTCTAACCCCTTGACCCTGAACTTCCTAGACCCTAACACAACCCCTACAGCCAAAACCCCAGTCCCTAACCCCTAAACCCCAGTCACCCTAGCCCGCGATTTCATGGTCCCAGGTGTCGTGATTGAAGGAGTTTCGTGGTTCAAGGCTTCGAAATGCTAGGACCCAGCCCCAGTCGGCTCTTTCTCCGCAGCTCTGGCGGGGCTTGCCTCAAGTCAGACTCCATTGACGCAAGAGAAGGGAATAGGAAGGGCGCGAGATGCGTCCCCGAACAGGGACCTGGGTTTACCACCCATGTAAAATCCCCGGCAAAATTCGGCCGAATGCCGCGTGGGCTTGTCCTAGCAGCTGCGCTTCACGGTAGCTCCATGACCATCCCAGAAGGCTCTAAAGAGGACACCGTTGCTTTGGCAAGGTGCGAATCGTAGTCAAAACGTGTCAAAAACGAACGTTCGCTGCAGGGTGGCAACTTAAAGCACTCTCTTTCGTGGAGTTGTCCATAATGGTTAGGGCTGTTAAGCCTGGAATGACTGAAGATCTGTCAAAATTGAACTCTGCAGACTGGGCATGGAATAGTACTTACTGTGAGGATCAGGGCAGTGAGCCCGAGACATACACCCCCGGGCTGTAAGATGTCGCCACCCCCATCAGCTGAAAATGGGCCTGCATCTCAGAGAAAAGGCTCGACCACCGCAAGTTTAACCACAACGTTAGCAGCCGCTACGCGAAGCCAAAGCACAACCCAACCTCTCCGAAGCTTTCCACAACCATGCATTTGAGTTACTCAACAAGGAATCGTCACGGCTGGAATGAGAAATCACCTACACAATTAGCTCAAGTGAAGACTCATGTGTCCTCTTGTCACCGCCTGTCCCTTTATACAGACCCCGGCCAGCAGCAGCAGTGCTTACAGGGATGTTGAAAAGTTTCAGTTCTACCGCATACGGTTAATCACACAGCTACCCCAAGCCGTAACGTAGACACAACTCCACCCATGTGCGCATGTATGTAGTGCGTAGTAGATGTGCCTTCAGGTGACGAGCTTGCTGAGAGCTTGCAAGTTATAAGCGGAAGCGAGTAGTGCAACCTGCCTCGTGCAGGATATGCGCACGGTGCTCCCCAAGTCAATGTCTCAAGTCGGGATACCCATCCATCCGCGGCGACAGCGCAGAATGCAGGCGGATGGAATCCAAGTTCAGAAAACACCCGCAGGGTAAGCCGCATCTCAACATCTTCCCCTTACCTGATGCAGCTGTCTTTGCCATGTTGTGCTATGGTTGTGACTGTTGCTGCTGCTGCTAGTTGTTGTTGTTGGTGGCGGCGGCCGTGGCGGTGGCAGTGGCGGTGGCGGTGGCGGTGGCGGTGGTGGTGGCGGTGGCGGTGGTGGCGGTGGTGGTGGCGGTGGCGGTGGTGGCGGTGGTTGCGGTTGTAGTTGTAGATGTTGGTTGTGGTTGTGGTCGTGGTTGCTGTTGCTGCTTTTGCTTGTGTTGTCGCTGTTGTTGCGCTTGTGGCTGAGGTTAGGATTGCCGGTGCAGCTGAGCTTCTCATATCTTCTGTTTGCTCATGCAGCTGTTGGTTGTCATCTTATGCTGTTTCGCCTTGAGCATTCTTCTGCTGCTCGTTCTGGCGCTGAAGGTGTGCCTGTTCGCGAACAAACCTTCATGCAAAGTGACGGCATCGCTGAAGCTCATGCACAACCTAAGCTCAAACCCCTGTTGAGGCCATGCGGGCTATAAATTGCCCGTGGTACCTCGGTACCGTGTCTGGCCTGCGGCTCACCTGCAGGCCCAGCGTGGTGGTGCTTCCTAGTACATCGTGGGGCACAGAGCGAGCAGCAGGACCACCTTAGCCACCGCGCCGGGATCTAGGGTAGGGTGTTCGGAATCGGAAACAGTAACATGGCCACCGATCGCGAATCTGATAAGCGCCCAGGCGTTAGGACGCGTGAAGAACCAAAGTTGGGTTTCGTTCCTTGCTCGATTAAGAGCCGAACCCCAATGCAAAAGATTTTCCAGGCAATCTAACCGAAAGAGAACTCAAAGACCCAAGAACGTATCCTGAGCCCCCAGAACCCTCGTGCACAAGGCCTTAGCATCACAAAATAAAAATATTCTCCTGCGAAAGTCCTACGCAGATCATTCATCGTCCTCATCATCATGATTACCCCATCCTCGTCCGCATCGTCATCATCATCATCATCATCGCCATCTAATCATCATGATCATCTTCCCCCTCTCCATCATCATGATCATCCTCATCATCAGCATCCTGCTCCTTCCTCATCAACATCGTCATCATCATCATCATCATCATCATCATCATCATTACCTTCAACATCATCAGCAACAATGTCATCATCACCATCATTATCCTCATCCTGACCCTCATCAGAAGCAACCTCAGCATCATCATCAACATCATCATCACCACGATGATCACCATAATCCTCATCATCATGATCGCCATGCTCATCAGGATCAACATCGTTGCTTTTCGTGGTCATGATCATATCCGCGGCCAACATGACTATCAGCTTCACATGCTCATCATCGAGATAGGAAACCTGTCCACGGCATGTGGGTGGTTCTCAATATTAGGGTCCCTTTTTGGGTCCGTATTATAATACGGCACCTATTATTTAGGGTACCCAAAGACCCGAAACCTCTCATGGTTCGTAGGCTTCATCCAAAAGTTTCCCCAAACCCTAAACCGTAAGCTGATCATAGTATAACCCCTCCTATCAGCCCCCGCCTCATAAAAAAAAAACTATCAAACTCCTAAACCCTGAATCTTAAATCCTCTATGTAAGCTTGAGAACCCCACTCCCCCGACTCCTGACCCTAAACTAGGTACAAAAGCATTAAAGCCAAAGCCTTTGACCGCAAACTCTGAACCCCTCAATAGCAACAATAATCGTAACAACAATAGCAATACAGTGCGTGCAGGTGCTGCTAGCGCTTACACCTAAAGAAAAACAACAGTTGTAAGAGGAGTTAGAACTGGGAGGTATAATAACAATGCTGATACTTTGCCGTCTTGCTTATTTCTACCCGGGCAACGAACAGGTTCAAGAAGTGGGACGGCAGGGCGTAGCTGAGCCTGGGTGGGCTTTGAAGGGTTAGGGCCCTTATGTTGCTTAGGGTGTTGCGTTTAGACTTGAGGGTTTAGGGCTTAAGGCTCGGATTTTTTCGGAGCTGATCTTTAGCTCGGGCAGCTTTAGGCGTGGACCATTTGAGGCTTTGGTGTGTCAGGGTTAGGAGATCGGCTTCGCCATTCGCGGCTTTGGGGAGGTCACCACCACCAACAACAAGAACAGCAACAACAACGACAAAAGCAACAGTGGAACTACTGCCACCACAACCACTACCACTACCACTACCACCACCACGACTACGACCGACTACTACTGCTACTACTACTAGTACGACCACTACTACTACTACTACTACTACTACTAGTACTACTACTACTACTACTACGACTACTCTACTAATAACAATAATACAAACAACAACGATAACAATACATAACTAATGCACAACTAATACTGCGATCGCCACTGCCCTCACAACCACGACGCAATGACGACGACGACCACCACACCACCACCACCACCACCACCACCACCACCACCACCACCACCACCACCACCACCACCACCACCACCACCACCACCACCACCACCACTGCCACAACTACAGCTACAGCAACAACTACCTCGGAAACTACTACTTCGCAAACTACGACTTCTACAACTACTTCTACTGGTACTACTACTGCTACTCCTGCTGCTACTGATACTGATATTAAATTACTACTACTAGTTACAACTGCTACAACTGCTACTACTACTACTACTACTACTACTACTACTACTACAGTAGAAGCCAGAAAGTTGCAATATGATCCTCCTAAACCCTTTATGGTAAATTACAAGGTATCCTACCCTGAAACCATATTCCAACTTTCTGGAGTTTCCTTTACGACGTTGCGACTGTGGATGCGACTGACTCCCACAACGGTTCCGACGTGCCACGACGACTCCTACTAGCGCACCAAAAAGCACATAAGCAAAACCAAATGATAGGGATCTCCCACATTAACCCCCTTGCAATGAAGCCCAATAAGGTAGGGATATCCATGTAACATGCTTTTGCTTATGTCGTTTCGGGGGCCCAACCTACCCCTACGTCTACTCCTACGCCGGCTACGGCTACTGCTACTCCGCCTCCTCGTCCTACTACTCTTATGATTGCTACCGATGATACGACGACGACGGCGAAAAGCTACAACTACAGCGACTGCTACTACTGCACGACTACTGCCCCAAACGACACTGAGCCCCATGATCTAATGAGCCTTTCATCCGAAGGCTCCCTGCTTTCAACCGTTGGCCAGAAGCGGGTGAGAGTTTCGGGACAGGCTTTCTGGTTTGAAGCTTTCAAACACCAGATTAACACAGCCACGCACTGGTGCTGGAGATCTGCCCGCCATCTTCCAGCGTGGTTGTCGTGGAGCTGTCAGCATCGCCGGCTGTCGTCGTGCTGCTGCTTCCGCCTGGCTCAAGTGGGTCTGAAGGGTTACGACAGAGGTTACGACAGAAAGTTTCGGGATTGTTGTGTTTGAGACAACGGATCCAAATCCAACAAAGGAATGGGGGGGATTCCTTAGTAGAGGCCACTGGTACACAGCAGTCGCGCATCATGGGAGGAAGCTCATCGCAAGTCCGAGCTGCCATCGGCTGACGTTAGCTGCTCCGAGGCTTTTCACTTGCAAGAAACCGACCTGAACACAGATTTTAGCAGCAATGTGAGCATCGTTCTTATTCTTCTGCTTCTTCTTCTTGGTATTATTAGTACTTCCGTTTCTGCTGTTGTTATTATGATGATAGTTCTTTTTATTACGATCAAGAGACTGCAGGACCCATCCTCCTCTCGATGGGGTTCAACCAACAATCAGAAGTGCACACGATTCACAAACCGCAAGCCCCAAAATCCTGTAGGCTGAAGGTCAAGCACAACACAACGGACTAAAATAAGATATGGAGTAATGTGATAGTGTAATATACATAGTATGAAGTATCAGAACATAGCACGTTGTAACATACCGCAACATAAGGTACTTTCACCAAATACAATACAACAACAATGTTATACAATGCAATATGCATATACATACATATATATATATATATATATTAAGATATATACCGATATACGATATACAACATCTGCGGTATGTAATATGCGTATATTTATAGAGATAGAGTATAGATGAATGTGTTTTTTGTATATGTGAAAAAGAAATTACAAAACATGTTCCAAACTATAAAAATATGGGTACACACATGTGTATACACATATGTCCCATCAATATACACAAATGTTTATACAATAAAAAAGTATACATATATATATATAGGTACATCATACATGGTATACAAGTAATGCTTACAGTGATATACAATGCAGTATGTTCACAAAATACACACACACATATATATATATATATATATATATACATACGTATACTGCAAACGTATGTACGAAACATGAAGTGTGTAATGCATGGTATTTAAAACACTCTATGCAACAAAGTACCATATACATTGCATATTGTATACTATATACTATGTACTACACACTGTATCATATGTAACATATCATATACAGTATGCAATAGACATTTTTTAAATTGCTGTATGATATGTGATAGATGATTCTGATGTATGACATGCCCCCAGACGTCTTGCCTCCTTGGCCCTGGCCACCCGTTGTGGTGGTGGTGGGGTCCGAGATTCCCAGCGCTGCCTTTCGCTGCTGGTTCGCGACCTGGTTGAGGATTTAGGGTTTAGGGGTGAAGGGTTGAGGGGTTTAGGGGTTGAGGGTTTAGGGGTTTAGGGTTTACGGGTGTAGGGTTTCAGGTCTAAAGGGCAAGGGAGGAGAGCATGTTAAGTTCGCAGATTTGGGACGACCTTCGCTCTGCTTCCTGCCGCATAGCTCCCTGTTTGACGCCTTGTTTTGCGGCGCTTGGCGAACTTCTGAGTTTGCGATTCAGAGTCCGAACCAAGGAGGCTGCTGCTAGTTCCACTACCCGTCTCTGTGCAGAAACACTGAGACCCCAAAGGAAAGTGTTAGTCTTGATAAGCCCCTTTTGGCATTGAGAAATGTAAATGACTGATGAGCAGAACCACATCTTATAGTTAATGTTGTGGTTTCTGCTGTTAATGATGGTTCGCCTGATTCACCCGTAACTCTGCGCGCTTCAACCCCCACCTCCAAAGACTCTAGTGCCCGTGACATCAAAGCCTTCCACGGACTCGACTTCAGTCTGCTGACTTCTTCGTGGCTGCGGCCTACATGCGTTTTTGTGATCAACCCCGGTCCAGCAACAGCCCTTCCCTGCGGTTTAGTGCATGCTGCAAGCACTGCTTCTCTACAATCCAACTTTGCCGGCAAATAACGGAACTTCCTAAGCGTCTGGTCTGAAGATTCCCTCAGTTACGCCGGACTTACGAAGAGAAACCAGGCTCCATGCTGCATCCGTCTGCCCTGGCACCTATTGTAAACCAGTACAGGATTGTATGATCCAGGCCAAAACCGACAGATGCTTCTTGAGACAAAGTCTCATCTGCGCGGGTGGTGATCGTTTTCTTCTCCGACGCAACACGAACTCCCACCTGCACAATGATGAGACTATCGCGGTCTTCAGGCACACACACACACGCACAACCGCGAAAGTCTAGTTTGCAGTGTTGCTACGGCTCCTCGTGCAATTTTCATCAGTTGGTATGACTGATAGCAGTGAGTTGCAGGAGCGCTGATTGTAATGGTCAAAGAACTAGCAATGACACTCCTTCCGTGTTGCTATGGTGAGTAGTGGAACCAAAGTAACTAGTAACTAGCAATGACACTGTTTCTGTGTTCCTATGGTGAGTAGTGGAACCAAAGTAACTATTAACTAGAAATGGCACTGTTTCTGTGTTCCTATGGTGAGTAGTGGAACCAATGTAGCCAGTAACTAGAAATGCCACTGTTTCTCTGTTCCTATGGTGAGTAGCGGAACTGGCCATACGTCTCCATTGTAGTTCCCTTTTTTTGGTTAACCAGTTTTTTGGTTAGGAACCTATAATGGAGATTCTGGATAGCCAAAAAAAGGAACTACAATGGAGCGATTCTAATTAGCAAGGCCCCTACACGAACAACGCAACCGGTACCCCTCGCTGCAGTCTCTGTTGTGCTAAATCCTAAATTTCTAAATCCTGCACCTGGCCTGAAGCATCCCTTCGAAATTCATGACATGTGTGGCTCAACTCTTCGAGGAAAACTACGGAAATAAGCAGCAAGAAGAAACTACAGCCCCAACAACGGTTCAGCATGTCGCAGAATCCTCCACAATCAAAAAGCCCCAAACCTGAAGGTAAATACACTCAGCCCTAAACTCCCCTAAACCCGTAAACCCTTAAACCCTTTACCTCCAAACCCCTAACACCCCTAAACCCATAGCTGCAACCCAAACGAAAACGCTAAAACACAAATCCGGAACCCCGGCCTTGGTATTCACTGTGCCGAGATCGCCCAAGGCCTTCATGGCCCCCGTGCTGCTGCTCTTGACCTGGCAGCAGGGTCTCTTCTGCTGTGGTGGTGGTGGTGGTGGCGAGGTTTTATGAGGATAGGGTTTGCGAGTGGAGTTTCGGAGGCGTAGGGCGCTCCCTGCGCTGACTGAATCTTTCGGGAGCTCGCATGCCATATGCGGGGGATGGTCATATTGCAAGAGTGCGAGACTGTCGAGCCAGGACCAGAACCTCCGAATCAAGACCCCAAAGCGAGCCGAAAGACTTAAACTAAGACCGAAACCCTAAATCGATTCAACCACAGGCCCTACCCGAAACCACATCCAGCACCCTTAACCCTAAACCTTTAGGCCTGGCTCAGCTAAGCCCTAGGACCCAAACCCTGAGCCCCAAACCGTGCAGAAACCCTTCAAACACTTAAACCCTGCAAAGACACACACTTGATCCACCACCACTGCTGCCGCCGCCACCGCCACCACCACCACCACCACCAACAACAGCAACAGGAGCAGCAACAGCAACTGACACAGCAACCGCCACAGCAAGAGCAACAGTAAGAGCAACAGCAGCAGTAACACCAGCAGCAGCAGCAGCAGTAACAGTAATGGCGGCAGCAGCAGCAACGTGTAACCTCAAGCTCGAATCTGAGCAGCACCTGCTTCTGCAGCTCCTGCGCCACATCCACGGGTGCGACCGATGTAACGCCTTCATTCTCGATTTCCAGCCTGTCTAGGAGAAGCTTTATGGGTTTAATCAGGGCGTGACCTAATTAAGGAAGGCCCTGAGCACTTGGCCGTTCACCTTTTCGTTTTCCTTTTGCCATTTGAATAAAGACCAAGGAGTGAATATATTCAAATGCAAAAGAACCGAACGAAAAGACCGTGAACAAAGGCCAGTGAGAAGGGGAAATGGAACTAGAATTTAGTACTAACTTGAAGCACTAGAAGTTAGTTGTTTCATTCTCTTCTTCGTTCTTCGCTCAAAATCATGCTTCATTTCCGTCATTATATTTTGAGTGAAGCACGAAGGGAATGAAACAAAGAGGGGAAAAGAAGGGAAGAGAATGAACTAATTTCCAGTACTAAGATATGATATGACCTAATTTATAATTAAGGCTTCTCATGACTTGCAGTTTGAGGCACTTTTCGGCTTTCAAGGTGCAAGCGCAAGATTGAAAGCAGTAGTGCAACCGCAGCCCCGACGTCCAAACCCCAAGCTCCAACTCCCGAACAACACAAGACAAGCATTCAAAAACGAAACCCACATCCAATCAATCCGTCTGTGTAGCAATACGGTTGATGATACAAAATCCTGCATTACCCATAACAAGGAATATACCATAATTCCTATAGCTTAGGGTCCCTAAAGTAATGCAGGAGTTATATCATCAACGTAGTACTCGGCCTGAAGCCCCGCAAATTCCACCACAAGCCTTGTAGGTTCCTACCTATAGTCTAGTAAAGTCCCTGGACAGCCATCCCTAGGCCCTTTACCCGAAGACCCCAGCCCCGAACCAGTACCCCCAAGGTTCTGACGCCCATATGGGGGGGGTTTCCGAGAATAGGGGACCCTAACATAGTACCCTATACGGTAGGATCCTTATTATAAGGAACCCAAAATAAGGTACCCCTAAATTCGGAAACTCCCATATGACCCCATTCGAAGCAGGGAGCGTCAGCACCGCACCCGTTGTGGAGGCGCGGCGGCTGCTGAGGCGTCTGCCCTGGACCGCGGTATCCTGGGTCCTCGGTGAGCCAAACTCTTGGAGTCCGGGGGCTTAGAATAACTTATAGGGCCAAACAGAACAACTTGGGGGAACAAAAATACAAACTATGTTCCCCCAACCTTTTTTCCCCAATAGTTATGTAGTCCCCGAAATATGTTTTGGCTTTCTATAAAAGGCCCCTAACAGGTCGCTGCGACTTCAGAGGAGGCTCTTGTAGGTGATCACGGACTTCAAGCCTGCAACATGCTTGAGTTCTACATCGTTAAAAAGCCCCAAACCCTAAACCTATATACTCTTAAGCCCTAAACCCTATAAAGCCTAAACTCCCCAAACCCTACATCTTAGGAGAGGGTTTACGGATTGAAGTCCCTGCCAACTACTAGGGACGGAGCCCGATGCAGCAACCAGAAGCGAGCTACCGGAAACGGGGCTGGATTTGAGCGAAACCCAGAAGCCTTTGGGCAGGTAGAGTTCACCATTGAGGAGCACTCTCACATCCTCTAGCTTCTCCGTGGCTTTCTCCTTCACGGCATCCAGCACCACGATCACCTGTATTGGGGTTTCGGGTTTGGGTTCTAGGATGTGTTGTAAGGACAAGCTGAACCGCGTATCCCGATCTAAAAGCCCTAAAGTTCCCTAAAGCCCAGCCGATTTGTCTGCGAATTTCGCGGAGAGCAAGTTTCAAGGCACAGGTGGGTAGGAAGGCTCGGGCTTGAGAAGGGCGGGGGGTATCAGTGCTTCAAGGTGTAGGCTTCAGGATTCTGTGTTAGTGTGCTTGGGATTCCGAGTTCAGAGTATGGGGTTTCGGGTTCAGGATAAGAGTGTGTCCAGCAGTAAGAGGGCCTTCGATTTCTGCTTCTCACCACTGGCGATCGCAGAGGCGTTGCTGCCACCGGCGCCGTAGAGGTCCTTGCACGACTTCCATGAAGGGATGTGCGTTCCTGCAGGGGGGATGGAGCAAAGGTGTTTGGCGCTTCCGAAATTTCGGAACCCTAATGTTCCCTAAACCCTAAACCCTCAAAGGAGGGCATCCGTACCGGCGACTTTGATGCCGAAACCCTAAACTCTGGCAGAGAATTTACCCAGGCCCTAGAGTCTTATCTGCCCATACGGTTGATGATATAGATCCTGCATTACCGTAAGGACCCTAAACTATGGGAAATATAGTGTATTCCTTATTATGCGTAATGCAGATTTATATCATCAACAGAATCTCTAGGAACACGGCCACCTTCCATCGATGCTGTTGCTAGCACCGTGCTTCGAGGGGCTGGGGTCTGCGAGGCTGAGACTTCGGCTTCCGATCTCCGAATGAATCAGGGTTTAGGGTTTAGGTTTTTGGGTGAATCCCGAAAGGAAACGAGCTCCGATTCAGGTTTGCGGATTTCGGGCCCAGAACCCTAAGCCGCTACCGGCCTGTAACATCTTCCACCCCAAACCCTAAAGCCTCGATCTATAAGGTCCTTAACTCACGGTTTCTCGGATGATCTGCGAGGTCGTGGCGGGACGGTTGCGGGCTGCAGTCAGACACCGGAAATTGTGTTATATGGCTTTACCAACACCGAAGGTTTTTGTAGGGTCCCTTCAGAAGAAGAACCTACAACAAAGTAGGTTGCGGTCGTTTGACGGTAGGATTTCGATTCTTGACCAAAGGTCCCTGAATTATAAACAGAAGCCCTAAACCCTAAACCCTAAAAGCCCTAAACCCTAAATCCGAAACCCTAAACCCCAAACCCGATACCCGAAAAACCCTAAAAACCCTAAACCCTAAAAACCCTCAACCCCAAACCCTAAACCCTCTGAATCCGAAACCCAGTGACCCTAAAACCCAGAGCCCCCCCGGGCTTGGACCCTCAGCCCTCAGCGCTCCGGAGGGGCACTTCTGCATGTTGTCGCCAGCGAGGCAGTTCGCCGGAGCTACGCAGCTGATAGATTCCTTGGAACTAGACCCCGGCTTAGAATAACAATAACAATAGTACATTTTGTTCTTGAACAAAGTAGAAAATTAAAACAGATCTAAGAAACTATAGGGAAGGGGGGAAGCGGGGGCGCTTCTTTCGAGAGCCCTTTTGCCATCATCAAGTCCAACTGTCTGAAGTGAACAAGAGGTGTTTAAAGCCCCATAGGCCGGGTGACTCCTTTAGAGAGAGTTTAGGAAGCAGGGTATGGGGCTGCTCTGAGGGTTATTAGGCTTAGAGTTTGGATTTTGGATTCCGGCTTCAAGTACCTTTTTTCACTAGCTGAAAGGTTTTCGGGTGAAGACGTCTTGAAAGCTTCAGTTGCAATGCTCCCGAACTCTCAAACCCCCCAACACTGCATACCATGAGTAATCCAGCAGCCGAAAGAGACAAACTTTGGGTGACTGTAGTTTTGGGGGTGATTATACTGCCCAGCATCTGCTCGAGTTTTAATGGTTAAAGAAGGGTAGTACTACCAGTGCTATGTTGTGTCCTGGAAGCCTTAACCTTGAGTATACAAAGCCGGACAGTTCGACTCTTGCCGATGCAAGCATCCGACCTAAATGCGCCAGTCGAGGTCAGGTGCGTCTGGATGCAAGTCCTGATTCCAATCTTACAGTGCCAGTGACAATAGAAACCAAAGTGTATTGTAGCTGATAGCTGATGATTCGTAAGCTGTACAGTGTATAGCATGGCCATATTGGGGGTTCCTTACTAAATTATAAGAATATATAATATAACGGGCCCCAAAACCCTAGTCCATTTACGAAGGCCCCTCTATCATGGCTCCAGGAGAGTTTAGGCTCGGAATTCAAAACCCAGGCGGATGAAGGGCTGAGGGCTTCAAGCAATGGAACTCTTGAAGACCGCAGGTTATGACCCTCAGCCCCCATCCCGCTTAACCCTAAACCTCCGACTCCTACCCCCCACACCACACTGGTTTAGGGTTTAGGTAGGTGTGCGTGTGAGAGAGAGTTCCAAGTCCTGTTGCCACCAGCCTCCTGCTCTGGCGTGCATGCCTCGGGAGTTGGGCTGCTACCATACAGATTGGACACAAAGGGGCCGTTGTAGTGAGGTTTCACATTACCTGGGGTCGCTCAGTTTAAGGCTCGGCCATCCCAACCAAAACTCCCAAATACCAGCTACTGACGTCCCCTTGGGACTGCAAAGATCTTTGATCACAGCCTGAGGCAGGAGTTGAGACTAACTTAGAACATAGACCGAAAGAGCAATTTGCAAAGAAAGAGAGATATGAACACGCATTTGGACTTTGCTACTGGCCTTGGGGCAGCTGTTGAGAACGGTTCCGGCGTACTTAGGGCGGCAAATGTTCTCCTCGGCGTTGTTCGGGTCCGGGCACACCAAGGAGTTCGCGCCGCAAGGGCACTTCGCGCCCTTGTTGATGCACTGAACGCTCGTGTTGGTCTGCTTTCCGGAGGAAGTATAGTCCTCACTGGCCCAAAACCCAAGGAAATAAAAGTTGAAACTTTCAGAATCGACTACCTTATAAGAACCCCAAAAGTTGAAAAGTTGAGTTAACAGCCAATAAGAGTCCACAACGTTGCACTGCTTCTCGGACTCGGCGCATGGGCACACCAGGCTGGCCTGAAAAGGACATGGTATCTTCTCGTATAGTCTACTACAAGCCTATCATACTCTTGCAAATTATCGTATAGTATGTTTTTTACATTGCATGATGACATATTATCCACAGGCATTTTCGGATTGTAGGCTGCGTCACAACTCCACAAAGTCTCACGAGCAATCCCCTGCCTCTGCGGCCAGCAGACAGATGTCTTCACCGGGGCATCGCTGTGTGTTCTGGCCGCAGGGGCATGTCTCATCCTCCCAGGAGTTGTGTCTGGTGAGCAGTATGTCCTGTATACGTAGGCTGTGATTCAGATGCTTGTGATGTATGATACGTCAATACTAGTTTGCGACGCTCTTGCACAGTTCTACTGGCGTGCAGCACGTATACAAAATCGCAATATCTCCGCAACAGGGCTGTTTATACATGTAACGTGTACGATCGCACACATGTACAAGGTGTGTGGTTGTGTTTGGTTGTACACTTATGTGCATATATGTGTATATAAGTAAGCAAACAAGTATGTATGCATGTAGGTACTCAGTCAGGCAAGCAGGTCGGCCGGTATGTAAGACAGTATGCACAGTGCATGCATGTACATATGTACGTATGTGCGTATGAACGTATGTATGTATGTATGTATGTATGTATGTATGTATGTACGCGTATGCAGGTATGTAACGAAGTATGTATGTATACGTGTGGATAAGTATAATCTTAAGCATAAGTATAAGAAAAAGTATATGTATATGTATACATATGTCTATATAGTATCTATATATATATATATATACGTACACATACACATGCATATTTATACATATCTGCATCTACATCTACACATACAGACAGACATGTATGTGTCTATTTGTCCTTACTTTATGGCAATGACCTGCGCTGGTTCCATCCATTGGGTCGTTGTGCCCGCTGACGTCGACTGCAACTACAGTGACCGCGCCACCAACGACTGCGAAAACGAGGACGAGGATGAGAACGAGAAGAACGAGAAGGAGTGGCATGATGCTCATACTCCTAAACCCTAAAACCTAAACACCAAACCTTAAACCCCTAATCCCTAAACCTTAAGCCATAAGCCCTAAACCCCTAAACCCTCTGAAACCCCTCATTTGCAAGCTGGGTCCTCAGCAACGCAGATCTCGCGGTCGCTGATGTACTCTCCAGACTGGGTGAAGTCCTGGGTTGCGCGCTTGGTGTTCAGAGGGCCCACTATGACTACATAAACGAACACTGTATGTACATGCATATACAATACATGGGGACCCTATCACCGGGTTTGGTGTTTCGGGATTTAGGCATAAATTGAATCTCAGGATTTGGAACTTCTTCCGCGACCCGGATGGAGGGCCTCATACATCTGAACAGCAGGTTTTTGTCAGCCATGAGAGCTACGGTTGATGATATAAATCCTGCATTACCTTAAGGCCCTAAACTATGGCAATTATGGTATATTGCTTATTATGGGTAATGCAGGATTTACATCATCAACCGTACCAACCCTTCAAGCTCCCGGTCCCAAGACGAAAATCGTAGCAGGACTCCCGGAGGCGGACCTCCATGGGACAATTGTTGGCCTTAATAAGAACAGGGTTTGGGGGGCCATTATACTCTAATTGTAATAAGGAGCCCCAGAATAGTTTTGGTAATTATTAGAGGCGAAAAGACGCGTTGCAACGAGTATTTGCACAGCACAGACGGGCATGCACGAGCTTGTGGCAGGAAGACGAGGAGCACCACAATTTACACGCGACCCAATACATTCTCATCTAAAGTCATCTAAAGCTTTGCACGGCATCGTGGCAGGAACTCAATCAAGTTCGGGAGCAACGAAGTACTGGACAGTGTTGTTACGATTTGGCTTCGCCGGGTACGCCTAGCCTAGCGCACTGTGCCTCGTGTGACTCCCAACGTAAGCAGCCTATCGTATCGGTGCTTGGTGAAGCACAAAGGATAGCTGAAGGTATCATAATTTTTGGTTCAGGGTTAGGGATCAGGATAGGGTTTAGGATCCAGATGTTGCTTCGAACATCCAGCGTAGAAAAACCTTCAGCTTGATTGGAGGAGTAATGGAGATTAGTTCCCAGCTTAAGGCATTAATTCTGGCCTGAAGCCACATCCAGGCAAGCTTCCGTGATCCAGCACTTCTTCTGCTTGTCTCCACAGACCACCGGGCATTCCTCATCCTCAGAGTCATAGCACAACTGCGCCAGACATGCCCAAACCCAATTCCGTTAACAGCTATTATTGTTATTGTCATTCTACTGGGTGGTTGTCAATATTAGGTCCCTTTTTGGGTCCCTCTTAAAAATACGGCACCTAATATTTAGGGTACCCAAAACGGGTGCCATCACTTTGACAACTACCCTACTTGGAGGATCATGGGACTTAGTAACTAGGGGTACAAGTAAGGTAACTATACTTATAACTACTTATAACCCCAACTAAGGTACTTATAACCTTACTTACTAAGTCCCATGATCCTCCAAGTGTTTCCTAGGGACCCTTGATAAGGAACCCTAGGTATATACCCTTCATATAGCTATGATATACCCATTATATAGCCCATTATAGGGTAGGGGTCGCCTTTAAGGGTCCCTAGCAGGGTCTCAACACCGGCCTTGAAGATGCAGCGCATGGAGGAGCCCGGGCAGGCTTTGGCCTCCGTCCCGCAAGGGCAGCTGTCGAGGTTGGCGGCGCACTTCCTTGGGTTTTAGGAGTTTAAGGCTTTAGGGGGCTTTAGGGGGCTTTAGGGGTTTGGGGGTTTGCTGTTTAGGGGTTTAGGGTTTTAGGGCTTTAGGGTTCCGAAGAGGTCCATGAGGGTCTACTTTATTTTTCCAGGGTTACAGGGTGTAGGGCTTCGGGGTTTATGGTGTGTCGCGCGGATGGACAGGATTGCTGCACTGACCCTGCTGGACCCTTGCTGCGCGCCTAAGCCGGAAGGTAAGACTAATCCTTGTCGATCCTGTATTGCATAGCCCTAGGTCCAAAAGCCTAAAATCCGAAGCCGTAAACCCTAACCCGCCAACTCCTAAGTAATCCTGAAACCCGAAGCCCTAACACCCTAAAGCCCTAAGCCCCAAAACTCTAAGTACTGCACATCCCTACAACCCTAACTAACGCCCTAGTGAGAAGCACTGAACCCTACAGTGACCTCAGGACCCGAGAACCGCCGCTCAGCGACGTGGTGGGGCTGGAAAAGCCGAGCCAGGATCCATCGGGCATGTAGTCGTCCACTCCCGGGCAGCTGACCTGCTCTTAGGGTTTGGGATTACAGGGTTTAGGGTTTTAGGGATGACAGGGTTTGGGACTACATGGTTTGGGGTTTAGGGTTTGGGATTACAGGGCTTAGGGTTTTTGGGGCATGGGATTTCAGGGTGTAGGGTTTAGTAGGTGCGGCTGGCATCTAAGCTCATGAGCGATCCTTCCATATGATCTAGAGTCCAGAGTTTGGGGGTTTACCTGAAAATACACTAAACCTTAAATCCCAAAACACACAAAACCCTAAACCCCTGAAACCTGAAACCGTAAACCCCAAAACACCCTAAACCCTAAACCCCTGAATACCTGACTCATTACATCTGTCAAGATGCCTTGCCCGTCTCTTCCCTTAACCTCAGATACATAAAGCCCCCTTTCGTCGGGTTCAGGGTTTAGGGTTTAGGGTTGGCCAACATTCCTGATCTGTCTTCCACTGCACTAGTACATACTCATACTGCTACTATGACCTACTTGTCGGGTATCATGGGGAACTCAAGGTTAACCTTTTTGGTTTTATATGGATTATGTAGGGATTACTCTACTACTGGGATGATACACGCCCAGGCCGCTGTTGCACGTACTGCCGAAGGCTTCAGAATCGGCCGGCCAGGCCTCGCCATCGGCACAAGTAGGTGGGCAGTAGCCTGTCACAGAGGAGAAACTGAAAAAGTGCAGGGTTTAGGGTTAGGAACGGTTAGGATCACTTTACAGACTGACTGATACGGTAGCTACAGCTACGGGTACCTGAAATGCCATGACCTCCCTTAGGCTCATAGACTGCGCAGCCTGCCCTTGCACTCTGGCAGATCCCGCAGCCAAATCAAAAAGTGAGCCGACACGCCTTTTTGCAAGCATAGACCCTATTTGCCCCAAGCCTTGTTATCTCAAAAAGCCTGCAACCATCCTGCTGCGAGGTGGGTGCAGAGGCACAGCAAGCCCAACACCAGCAAGGCTTAAGGCTTAAGTGTTACAGCTTCGTGGTGCCGCGCTGATTTCGTGTAGGCTCCAGCTTTCCTTCCGACTCCTAAACCCCTACATCCTGAAACCCTAAGCCGTAAACCCTGTACTGAAGTTGTCGCAAATGGCCTTTGGACAATTGCAGTCTTCGGGTCCTCATTACACCGTCACTTCGAAGAAGCTCGGCAGGATGCTGACAACAAGATGAAGTTTCTGTACGGGTACTAACCATTGACGTTGCCAGAAGTATACTACATGATACTACTACACGGGTACTTCCCCCAAGCCAAGAAGAGTCCACATCACGAAAGGTCTCATGCATCGCGACCTCGGCATGGTGGAGCACGTTTCGAAGCACCATACAAGTGGGGGACGTTCATCTGGAACCCTGAACCACGGGATTTTCAGCCCCAGCTCTACATAAAGCCTTTACCGTTGAACTCAACTTCTCAACACCCAGTATCTTGCTGAATTTCCCTGTTCATGCCTCCCTCGATGGGAAGGCACTCGGTCCAGCTGTAGCCCCACTCCTGCGCATGTCGTGCAGCTCTGAGCGGCTTGTTTGAAGCCTGGTTTGCTTTGTTTTTGGCTGCTTGCAAGTCTTGCATGACAATGAAGGGGATCTGAATGTCAAAAAGGCAGTCGATGCCAACTGGGCACCCCTCTGTGTTCTGTGTTTATCCTTCTTCTGCAATGGTCCGGAACGCATATCTTATTTGAACGCATGAGTTTCTACATACGTGCAGAAGCTGCGACAGCCTCCAATAAAAAGATGGCCCCATCATGCAGAAGAGGAACCCCATGCTGATCCGCATGACAGCCAAGGAGCAGCAACAGCACAATAGCACCACTGATTCTTACGACATGCCAGATCTGGCATCCTGACCATTCCAAGCCAAGGGGCGTTGAAGTCACAGGAGAAGGAGTTCTGACCAGTGCACTGGCACTTCGTGCCCTTCGGCACCTGGGCGAGCGCTGTCAAGCACCGGATTGTAGGTCAGACGTGCCCGACAGTTTCTTGTTGCGCATAGCTTGTACTACTTGGTACGTAGTGCCTGTTCTCGTAACATGGGGAGCAACAGAAGCATTGCTTGAAGAAGCTTGGGGTTGCGAAAAAGCTCGGCTCCCACATCCTCGGGTTGGGGAATCAACAACACAAGCAACAAACACGCACACAAAGAGACACATAACTATGCATGTACGGGTGTGGGTAGGGTCTGGAACAAGAAGAACCATAACTTTACCAACATCGCAGGGTATACGGACTGATAGTGGTGCGTTCTCCAACACCGACCCTTTGGCTCGCACAGACGTCCCCCCCTTTACCGAGATGAGAGATGATCTGGCTAAATACTAAAGCTTCATCGCTTTCGGGTTTAGGGTTCAGGTCTAGTGTTCAGGGGTTTTTAGCACAGGCCTAGGCCTATACGGTTATACGATAGTTATAATAAGGACCCCCCCCAAAAAAAATTGTAGGTAATCATGTAAGGCCCCTATATGGGTGGTTGTCAAAAATTAGGGCCCCTTTTGGGGTCCTTATTATACTGCTACCCAGAAAGGGACCGTAATTGCGACAACCACCCATATGGGAGTTTCCGAAAATAGGGGACCCTGATATGGTACCCCAGATAGTAGGATCCTTATTATAAGCACCCCAAAATAAGGTACCCCCTATTTTCGGAAACTCCCATATAGTAACGATGAAAGAAGAGGACTCTCAGGTCTCCAGTAGCCCGGCTGCGCAGGTCTCCACGGTGCTCAACCATCCTCCATTCGCATCGTAGCCTCCAGAGCGTGTCGTGACGGACAGCTTAGGTAAGGTTTAGGGTTTAGGGTTTATGGAGCATGAGGGTTTAACGCCAAAACTCCGCTAACTGACTTGAAGATGTTTTTCAAATCCAAGGGCCCAGAAGGACTACGGCTTGCAGTCTAACTGATTGGAGAAAAGAATTGCATGGCTCCAAAATGTTCCAAAGGCTCGTGAAGTGCTACTATGTAGGGACAGAGTCGATTGTTTCCCGCAATACCGCTGGGGAAAAGGTGGGGATCATCTCTAAAACGTCTTCCAATCTCTCTCAACAAGCACCATGAATTCTAGTGGCCCTTCACCGCATTCAAAAGGGCGTCCCTCAAACGGTCTGACTTGTCCAAAACTCCACCAAAGCTTACGCCTTGCAGCCTGGGTTTTGGGGCCCATTGTAGTATTCGTAATAAGGACCCCCCACAATTATTGAGGCCCCTATAGCACACCTTTAAACTACCCTAAACCCTACACCCAAAACCCTACACCCTGCACCCTAAACCCACAACCCTAAGCCAAAACCCCAAACCCTACACCCTAAACTATCCGAAACCCTCCACCCTAAACTATCCTACACCCCTAAACCCAAAACCCTAAACCCCTGAAGTGAAGCCGAGGAGCTCGGGCTATAGCAATAGTCCTCCTCGTCGGTGCAGTAGACGGGGCAGCGCATGGAGCCTCGAAGAAAAGAATTTTTCTGAGTTTTAGGGTATAGGGTTTAGGGCTTAGGGTTCAGGCTTAGGGCTAAGGGCTTAGGGCTTGGGGTGTAGGGTTTAGGGCTTAGGGATTAGGGCGTAGGGTTCAGAGTTGAAGAACAGTCCAACCCCCCAAAAAGGGGCGAAAGAATTCCAGAGGGCTAGAGGACAGCTATGACAGCATAACCATAGCGGAACAAGAAGGGAGTCATATCTTCAAATTATATATGGGTGGTTGTCAAAATTATGGTCCCTTAGGGTACCCAAAGTGGGACCATAATTTTGACAGCCGCCCATATGAGCCTTCTACATCACATCAGAATCAAGAAGGATCAGTGATCAAGGCTCAAGCTTTCTTTCGTGCTTGCAGTAGGGCTTAAGGAGTTCAGGGTTTAGGGTTTAAGGAGTTTTGGGATGAAGCCGCAAGCCGCTTGTCGACAGCAAGGCGACTGCAATAATGATAAGGGTGCCTTTTTCCCCACAATTTGGTGGGAAGAAGGGAGCCAAAAACCTAGGGTATCAAGAGTCCGGGAGCGGAGGTCAAAACTTCCTCGGGTGGGTGCAGCCAAACCTTCTTTCCCATGTCCACTCATCAATGCCAAACCGCTTTGAAGTGGTACTGGATCAGGAGCTCCAGCCAGCTTTCGAAATGAGAGTCCCATTTCTCGGCACTAGTTTTGTAGCCAGGACTGCGCTGGAGGTATCTCCCCGAACCATTGTGAATGACCATCAAGGATCCATGAACCTTCACACGCCCGCCTGCCCGAATGCAAAGCCAAACCCCGAAAAGCTGCAACACAAAGCTTTGAAGGTCGACCCTACGCCTCACCGGAGATGGAAGCTTCCTGACTTCTGGCGTGTCTGCTGACAGGGCACTGTTGCTCCAGTAGTCCACCAGCGGGTAGCAGTAGTGGTAGTCCTGACGATCGAACTGCATAACTTCCTCACTATAGCATATGTACTTGAATATATCTATAAAATACTAAGACTTTTTGCAACAGAATATGGTAACTTCCTCAAAACACCCTGAAGCTCTGCACTGCAGCCCACATCCCTTGAAATAAGACCACGCAAACCCCGACATCAGAAATCCAAGCCGCCCCCACTCAATACAAACACAGACCCTATGCCTCAAGCTCTACCAATATCCATACACAAGAATAAGGGCTGAAACTGAAGGTTGAGTTGAAACCGAAACGCTCATATAGTATATTATAGCATAATATGTACTACAATATACCTATAATATGCACTATACTATACTATAGTTTGCTATATTATATACTAGTATACTATGGTATGCTATAGTACACTATACCATGATACTCTGATATACCAAAAACGAATACCATCGTGTGTCACAAGAACAATCAGAAAACCTGCGCAGCCTGGCACTGATGAAGTGGGTTTAAGGCTTAGGGTTGAGGGTTTAGGATTTAGGGTGCACTTCAAAGTCAATATGGATGTCGGGGGATCTAATCATCTAATCTAGGTTGGCCACGCAAAGCCTTCGAACCATTTCCGTAAATGAGATACTGTTGGGTTATTGGGGGTGACAACATAAAATGTCCTAAAGCCCCTGCAGTGCGTTGTATCTATATACAATGAGCGTAACACCCTGAAACAGACAGGTCCCTGCTCCCTTGAGGTGAGGACCCATGGCAAGACAGAACAAAGCACCACCACACATGCAAATTCCCAGTCCTCTCGCCTGAACAAAAAGGAGAACCCCTGTAGATCCATAAGGCAGAAAGCCCTCGTAGAAACCATTGCAAAAAACCCTTTCAAAACCCCTATCAAACCCTGGATATGCTCGAAGAATACACTGATCTGCGGCGCTGTCGAGCTGCCCAGTGTGGGTCATGACACTGCTGCGAGTGGGTGCCACAAGGACACACCTGGCAGCAGAAGCGTCAGGGCGTAATTATGGTTCATCGTTAAGCTGCCCACCCTGTCCCCATTGTAGGCTCTGAGATGCCGGTTGAGGATGGAGGTGGCTAATAAGCTCGTCGCAAGCACTACCCACTCCTCAATCTAAGCAGGGGGATGTCGAGTTTAACAAATCACGAACACCCCAGCTTAATCGCAAAAGAAGCACTTCGAAGGAAGCAAGTGGGCTCTGAAACGCCTGCTCATGTTGATACGAATTATTCAACGGTGGCTTGTACATGTCACATACTGAACCCTTTGGCACTCAGATCGGAGTCAATGGAATGATCTGACCAAGCCATCTCGCAAGAGTAAAGCTACTTCCGCCTGGTCTGCTTTGACGCAGGTCTCACGATAGACGCCAGGATAACCATTGCTCTCGTAGTCCTTTGCGCACCACTGGAGTCGATGTGTGCAGTTATCTGTGTATGTCTCCCTGTCTGTCCCTTGGTAGGTAGGCCGGGTAGGCCGGGGAAGTCTCTAAACTTTAAACAGGAAACTTTAGAGGTTTGCGTGGGGCCTTTGGAGCCTTCAGGGCCGAGAGATGAACCAAGGACTCGGAATCCCTGATACAGGGTCTCTCTTCTATACCCCCCCTTTACTCCCTGGTGCTTAGGGGGGGATGATATAGGGACTACTATAGGGATCCATTCCCCCACTCCCTACTAAGCACCAGGGAGTTTAGAACCATAATGAAGCGAACATACTTGTGTTTAATATTCTCTTGGGTTTTATATGAAGAAAAGAAAGAGATAATTCCTAAGGAGAAATACACATACTTGTGTTTTATGTTCTCTTGGGTTTTAAATAAGGAAAAAATGAATTCCCCAAAGGAGACTATAGTGACTGTAGTCTCGGATGGTGTTAAAGTCCGGGGTTTAGGATTCAGGGCTCCGGTCTCGTTTTGGGGACCAAGATGCGGTGATGTAGCAGCGCTGCTCATCTGACTTGCATGTGACAGGGCACGCAACGCCTGTCGGATAGCACACCTCGTTTTCGTACCTCGGCCGTCGTCGTGAAAGTCCTACTAATAGCAGCACCAACTGCATGAATGGTGTTACTAGCCAAATCCAGAGTAAGTCTCGTCTGACTCTACGATGCTCAAACTTGAAGAGCACCGCTTCAAGATTCGAAAACCAAAAACAAGAGCTGTCGGAATGCGAGACACAGACCTCCTCAAACTGGCTTTCGGGGCCTTGGGGTCTGGCAACTTAGAGACTTCAGAAGCCTGATCCGCTGCAAGGTAGGCCTCCGAAGCCTGCAAAGCGTGACCCTAAGGCCGCGGCCCCCACTCATCCTTGGCTAGGATTGAAGTGCGAGGGGGAGTGCGAGGGTGTCGTCCGGCAGAAGGGGGCGGTTGTGCAGACTCGTGCAGAGCATGGAATCCGAGATGCTAGGTTCACCACGTCTGCTTTGATCAAAGATTGCATCTTTGAAGCATATAGCTACATGCGCAGGGGTGTTCGCAGTCCCTGTGGCCGGAGGCCATCTTAAGACTTTAATTCAGACACAACCTTCACGGCTCTTGCAGGGCCTATGCAACCTCACCGGCTCCGTGAATGCACGATATTGACAGGTCTCCTGCTAATCACCTGTTTATATATTCTATTATATCTGCTTATTCAGATACCAAATCACTCCTCAGGCGAAATCATTTTTTTATGCTATGAGCCCCATGAACATGATATCCGAAACTCTGCAAGCTGATCACTAAGATGCAAGACCGGTATAGAGAGGTCGGAATAACTGGCAACCGAAAACCCTCAGCCCTTACCCAAAGGCCCCAAAGTAGTTCCTTTCTAGGGTTCATATATAGAACCCTATAAGGTAATCCCAAAAAGGATTTTCTTTGGGGCCTATGGGTATAGTCACCTTTTCGAACACACTCCAACAAGTCTTGAGTCCTTTCTGTCCCTCCTGGTACAATAAACCGTAAAGTGTACCAACTCCCGCAAGCCGAATTCAAATGATTCAGGTCTCTTCATTAAACTCTCTGCCTGAATCTCAGCACTGAACCCGATGTGGGAGTTTCCGAAAATAGGGGACCCTAATATAGTACCCTAAATAGAGGATCCTTTTAAAAAGGACCCCGAAACAGGTGCCCCCAATTGTCGGAAGCTCCCATGTGGAAACCTTGAACCCCATCCTCGGGGTCGGACCGTCCAGCGGCACATCTTGGCGTTCTCGCCGCAGCCACATGGCCTAAGCTCACTCTGCAGCAAATTAGCTTCAACTAGTACTTCAAATAAGTCTAAACAATCCAAAATTTATCAAATGTATCCAGTCATTTATTTAAAATAAGTATAAATCAAACCTTGCCCATGCTTCGAGGGCATTGCGAACGCAGCATTCGTGAGTAGACCCCCCGGATGTACCGAGACCCCAGGGCCCGTAGAACCCCACATGTCCCCTTGAGTCCCATTATGGGTACCTTATTTTGGGGGTCCTTATAAGGGTTCAACTATAAGGGTTCCTTTAAAGGGCCCTACAAGGGTTTGGAGTTTTCCAAAATAGGGGGTATATACCTGATTTTGGGGGTCCTTATAACAAGGATCCTACTGGTTTACGGTACTATATTAGGTCAGTTCGGGGTTTGGACAAAGGCGCTGAGAAGAGGTGAGCGTACAAGAAGTCGTTTGGCGGAGGAGAGCAAGCGAAAACAAAGGCCCATGCAAAGTAAAAGCACTACTTGGAATGGGATTGGGTACATCATTTCAATTATCGGATCCCTAAATCCTGTAAACCCCAAAGCCAATGCATCAGATCTGCATATGTGGGGTTCCGTACTCCTTTTGCGAGACCCGTCATGCAAACCAGCTTCGGCCTAGTATTAAACATATTTTGATAGGGGTAAAGGATTTAAAGTCAATGATACGATTTAGAGTCCAGTGTTTATGCTTTCTTTCGCTGATGTTGATAGTCAGTTAAGTTCCTGCCAGCGAGTGTACATCATTCCTGCTTTGTTCTTCGGGACATCCCTGACTTCGAAGGGGCCAAGCACCGTGCTCCGAATCTTCCAGGGGACTGACGGAACGATTACTGCAGGAACCTGATTGCGAAACCTTGGGCCCTCAGTAGGGTTTCTTCTATGAGTCCTTATATGGCCAGGGTTTCGTAATCAGGTTCCTACATTAGACTCAGAGACATGGACAAAGAGGGTCAGGCCACCGAGCAGGGAGAGAAACACATGAACCAACAGTCCAAGCGCCCTTAATAAGGACCCCTAGGTAAATACCCTTAACATAGCTATTATATACCTATTATATAGCCATTATAGGGTAGGGGTCCCCATTAAGGGTCCCTCCTTTTCCCTTTTGAAACAGGCACTCCAAAGCCCCCGAAGCCCGAAACCCTCGACTCCCTGGTGCTTAGTAGGGAATGGGGGAATGGGTTTTTGGGACTGTTTTTGGGGATTCTATAAGGACTACTATAGGGATCCATTCCCCCATCTAGAGAGTACCGAAGCGCTCGCGCGAGCAGACTAACTTCGTGCTTACTACGTCGCTGGGTGATGTTCTGGCAGCTCTCCTTGACCGGAGCATTCCAATCCTGGAGTCCTTGCCAAAAGACAGAAGCTCAACACAGCGGAAACCCGACCCCTAACATGCTGAAATCCAAAACCCTAAACCGCTAAAGCCTGAAGGTACAGGCTCTGGTTTGATGCCATAGTTGCGCCAGGTTTCCGCGATTTAGAGATATCCCGAGTTTGGGTGCCCTGTGTGCCCCATTTCCGTGCATCTGTATGCGAGGTCCGCCATATCAGCCGGTACCTTCTGCTTACCGATCGGGCCCTGATGGGAGGTAAAGCGGTAGAGTGTCAAGAGGTGTGGGTAATTGAAGAAAACGAATGGTAGAGTATGGTCGGGCCCTAAGCCCCGCAAGCTGGGTTGCAACATTATCTACACCGCTCATGGCTGTTGGTAAACTCAGAACCCTGAACCCTGTACATCAACGCAGCATCCGAAAACCCCGAGGTGTTAACCAGCGACCTAAGTCCTTGCACATCTGGGGTTCTTGGCGACAGCTTGCAGGGCCTGAAGACCCCACTCCATCTTAAACCGGCCTAGACCCTAAGAAATCGAGCAGGGCAGCCATCTGCCGTGAAGGACACGGGGTAGCAGGTCTTCTCCGTAATGGGGTCACAGTAGATCGGGCAGCCCCAAGCAGCCTCATGATCAGGCACGATGATGGCTGAAGAGTGCATCCTTCATGTACTGCTGTCTACTTGGACACGGAAGTTTTTCAGTATGCTACTATCGGTGTTAGTTGTAGTTCGGCGTGGCTGGCGGTAACGAGGATGAAGAAGATGATGATGCTTGATGATGGCGGCGATTGTAGCGCTGGTGCTGGTGCTTATGGTGGAACTGGTGCTACTGGTCAACTGTTTTACATACATGGTAGATGACCACGATGATGACACTGATGCCAGTGATGTTTAAAATAATGACAATGCGACGATCAGGGGTTAACGAATCGAAGCACCTACTGGTAGCTTTCTGAGGCTTTGCGAGTGTTTTCGTCTGTCGCCTGAGTGGGATCACAGGAAAATGTGCAAGTGCTGCGGTTTGCTGAGGATGAACCTTAAACCTAAACTCCTAAACAGTATAGGCACTAAACCCTTAACCCCTGAAACCTGAATCAAACGAGAGTTTCGGCTTGGGACTCGGAGGGGGCTGAATCCCGAAACAAGGCAAGTTGTGGCGCGATGACTACGACTGCAGTTGCTGCTTTGAATTCTGTTTCGATTCGCACGATGATTGCACCGGTTGAAGTTGGTAACCCTAAACCCATAACCTAATTAAACCCTCAAAAGTAGGCAAAATAATGGCCCGAAACCTATAAAAGGCTACTAAAGGCAATTATTTTAGATACTTTTAGGGTCCAGGAAACCATGAAACCATGATGATGAAAGCTGGTCTGGGCTCTCGGGCTTGGTTTGGCGACTTTCGCTTCCCACAGCTGCTATTCTTGGCTCCAGGTCTTGTCCGACTTAAGCCTACTTTAAGGGTTCCTTTAAGCGTACTATAGGGGTATTAAGGGTTCCTTTAAGGGTACTATAGGGGTATCATGGGACTTAGTAAGTAAGGTTATAAGTACCTTAATTGGGGTTATAAGTAGATATAAGTATAGTTACCTTACTGATAACCCTAGTTACTAAGTCCCATGATCCTTGAAGGAGAGGGATTGGCCGAAACCCCCGCTAGACCTGCAACCCGGTGCCACATGCCCGGCACATCGATCACCCCAAGCACCCCTGAATTTCTGTTGCAAGGCCAGGGGGCTGCGGTGCAGTACCTGCATGACACGTGCAATGCAAGAGCAAAGTTCACGACCATATCTCTAGACAAAGGTTCACGACATGTACATGGGTATGTCGATTAGCTTCTGCTGGTTTGTTGGGAGGCGGTTGGGATCGTGTTGATTTGCGTAGCAGTAGCATCTTACGGCAGGCGTCCTGGCAAAAAGCATTGAAGTTCTCGGCAACCCGGGTACCCTCTTGTTCGCATTCAACTCTGCAAGCCGCGAGCCAGTCTCCCGGAAGGGGCTCCCGACATGCCGTGTGCTGTTCCGGTTTGGCAGTTCAATTCGCCTCTTCCGGGCTTGCCACGGACACCGTCAAGTATGGGAAGGGTTTCAACACATTCCGCCGCAAAGCCATGGAGATGGTAGAAACTTGGCGTTCGAACTTGCAACGTACCTCTGAGACTTGCTTCAGTTCCCGTCACGACTGCGGCACTTGCCCCGCATGAAGAGGAGAAAGATGCTTCATGTCAACTTTCGGATTAGCACGATGACGGCTTATACCTTGCAACCGAAACTCAACAGCGGTACTTCATTAAATCAGCGCACTTCCACCCGCCGTAGAAAGGGTCTTCGCACTGCACAGCGTTGGCACCACAGGGGCAGTCAGCGTTCATGTCCGCACCTGGGACAGGTCAGTTCACTCGAGATTCCCAATCTACCCAAAGGCCCGAAAGTATATAGTTCCTTTTTGGGGTTCATATAGATTCCTATAGGGTAATCCCGAAAAGGAACTGCTTTGGGGGCTCTGGGTAGTGGCTCAACATATAAGTAAGTGTCTGGCAAACTGGAATACTTGTTGACATACTTGTCTTTTTGTTTGTGTTGGGGGAAGTTGTACATTATGGGTATATCAGGGAATCTAAGGGTTAGTATCAGCTAGCACTGACGTAAGTTGGTCCCCCTTCTTGGGAACTCACGGAGCTGAGGAGGATCCGACAAGCAATATAAAAGGGGTCTCAAAATTCAGAATAAGGTATCCTGAGATGTGATGGTTCCGACCTGCAAATTACTCAAGCATGTCGGAAAACCGTTGATTGAAGAAGCAGGATGAAACGCTAAACCTAAAACTAAAACAGAGAAAGTAAGCCTTCAATTGAGAGCATGAGCACTGAGCACTGAGAACGCCTGTCGTGAAGCCGGTGCCAAGCTTCCCGAGATTTCACAACCAAGGCCACGCAGAAAGGTTTTCGGGGGCTGATTTTCCATGGTTTCCAGAAGGCCTTAATGGCTTCCATGGTTTCGTGCTTATCGCTCCGTCGATGTAAAACAAGCTTCAGGTGTTGATGAACTGGAGGTTTCGGAACTTCCAAACAAAAACAGCACCGCAAACCCTAAACACCTACCCGAACCCCAAAAGCGTGTAGAATAATAGCCTCTTAAAGGTTTTTGGCCCCTTATATTACCTACTGTGGGGGGTCTAGGCATGACTCAACATCAGCAAAGACTAGGCTGGGCGCAAGTCTCGGAGCTGGACAGCCACATGCCCTGGGCGTCGTACTCGTCCTGAGGTTCACGGTTTAGGGTTTATAGGGGCTAGGGTTTAGGGGTTTAGGGTTTAGGGGTTTAGGGATTCTGAAAGCAGAGCTTGTTGAAAGCTAGCTTGATGCGAGCTCCCTCTACCGCAGCACAGGCACTTCTCCATAGCAATGGCAAGATTTTGCTAATTTTCGCAGGTACGAGCGTGAATGCTCGCAGTGATAGCGACAGTTCTAGTGATGAGACTGACAGCCCCAAGTGCGCAGCAATCACAAAATTCCACCTGAAAGTCTAGGATCCTGCATACTATCGAGACCCCTACTTTGCAACCGCTAGCACAGTGAAGAAGCACCGCAACCCTTACAGAAAAGCAACGATGTTCCTTCTACAGTCGCCCGGTAACCATGCTATGAGGCGCCCCTCAATCTCCCAAAGAGTTACTAAACTCCCTTTACTAGGAGAAAGCGTCTCTAACAGCGATGAGAAGCTTGCTGTGGTCCCAAGGTGTCACGGAATCTTGCCCCAATGTTGTGTTCCCAGAAGTAGGCACCTTACCTGCAAACTCCCCCAGAGCAAAGAAGTCCCTGTAAACCCCGAGCCCAGAATTCCTAAATCCTATGTAAGCTTGAGCCCTACATTCCTGAAGCCCTAAACCGTTCACCCTACCAAAACTCTGAAGACAAGCATCCACCCAGCAGTACTGCTGCTCAGCAGAACAGCTCCTCAGAAGGAATTTACAACCGGGCATGGGCTCCACTCTTGGTAGTGGCTTCAGAGTGCAGAGGTGGTCTCGTCCTAGAGTTCGTCTCGAATCTTAGGCCGAAGAGCTTCGGCACCAAACCTTGACAAAATCATCTTGCAATCCATTCCCGAGTTTCCTGCGACGTGTACGGTCTCTGGGCTGTGAATGCCGATGAATGTCGCCGAAACCCTAAACAGTACACCCTGCAGAATCTATGGCTGAATTCGAGTTGCTGGCATGGGGTTTAGTGCATCCCAAGGACAGCCTAGAGAAAGCACAAAGTGTTCTGGCGATCTTGCAGGTATCCATAGTAGTAAGTAGTGGTCCCCAGAATTAAGAAGATTCGAAGGCGGCTACGCTAAACACCAATGGCGGCAGAAAAGAAACCCAGGCTCATCGTAGGAGTAGGAGCACTGTCAATCACGCTTACAACCAACGAAAAGTTTGTATGTCGGCACTGGCAGAGAACAACAGCCTGGCAACACTAGTCATCAATTTCAGTATTGGCACTGCCAGTACGTACTCATCAAGCTACCATAGATTCAGAAAAAACACTGAACCCCAACAACTCTAGGCCTGCAGCATGAGTCCCGTTCCTTTGAACTCCCACATTCCGCCGGCACACTTATGACCACCATCATGCTTGCAACGCTCCTGAGAGCCATCAGAAGGGCACCAATGTAGTACTCATCGTCACCAAGATTATGATGATCATGACCACCATAGTGACAGTGCGACCTCCAGTGCACCGCAGCACCCTACGCCCCGGTCCTATATAATCCCTGAACGCCCTAGACCCTAAAACTCTGAACTCAAAGCCCCAAAACCCAAAAACTCTGAAATCAAAGCCCCAATCACCCCAAAAACCCTACAACTCTGGAATCAAAGCCCCAACATACCCGAACCCCCAAAACCCGGAAAAAGGTCCAGGTTGCAGTGGGCAGCTCTCGGAGATGGCAACGCAATGCTCGTCATAGGAGCCCGGGGTGCCGCACCTGAGGTTTCCTAAAGAATAACAAAGTTGCAAACAAAATAAGAAGAATAAGAATAACAGTAAAGTGCTAATAACAGCAATATTAGCAATCGTAGTACCAACAACAGTAATACTCAGGTTCGGGTATAGCATAAGGCGTACGGCGGCTTTAATCAAAGGGCTCCAAAGGTGGGATGAAGGTACGTGGAATATTGCAAAATAAGAGTTTTTATATAAGGGATCCCCTAAACCATAAACCCTAAACCCCTAAAACCTAAACATCCTTCATCCTACCTGGCTTCATCCCACCTTGTGGGGCTTCCGACTTAAGGATCTAAGGCTTCTCGCTCACGGCTAGCCCGGGATCTTGTTCCCCTGAAGCCTAGCACCCCATAGGATTCTATATATGAACCCCAAAAAGGAGCTACTTTCGGGCCTTTGGGTAAACTCCTCACAGGGTGTGTTTTTTCAAGGATCCCTCGACTCCGCTGAAACTTGCCGCCAATTTCCGAAAGTCGCGCATCTGAGAGCCCAACTTCTTGGAGGTGGCTGGATCGCAATTGACGGGGCACATCCAGTTGTTGCTGTCCTTGGTTAAGGGTTTAGGGTGCACGCATTTGGGGAATCATGATTTCAGACTCAATTCAGGCCGTTGTCTTTCGTGAGTCGTCTTGTTCGCTGGTGTGACCTGTACTCCTCGTTCAAGCTCGAACGGAGTTCGGTGCGTCGGTAGGTAATCTGCAATTCTCAATTCTCAAACGGCTGGGCTTTCAAGCTGTGCTGGCCACCAAAGAGAACGAAACGTAAAGCTGGAGCTGGACCCCTCACCCTAGGCCTCGGAGCTCCGAACCCTAAACCCTACACCCTAAACCCCGGAAGCCAAAGCCTCGAGCCCACCTCATTGCCTTCTGCACCGCAGCTAGAAACATCCTGGCCAGCGAATGAAACGACACAACATGCTGACGAGGGCATGTCTTTTTCTTGACCCCCTAAGTCTTTTTTTTGACCCCCGATCGTTTTATTGACCCCTGAACATCTGCATTCTGACCCCTTTACCACTTCTTTCTGACCCCCGTATCTTTGGTTTGACCCCTACTGTCTTGATTTTGACCCTCCTGTAGCCGGGCAGGCCAGAGCCTAAACAAGTAAGCCCCCCACCACAGGCTACAATATCTGGAGAATTTCACCCCTCCTTACACAAAATACTGATTCCAAGACCTTGCTAAGCACCGTCCCGGGTCCAAACACAATGCTTGTAAAAAGGCTTCATGGGGGAACGTCATTGATTGGCACAGGTTCGCATGTTGGGATGCCCCTGTAACTCTTCCAGGCATTCCTGCGGGTTCGCTTCATTCGCACAGGCTCGCATGCAGGGATCGGGCAGGTTAGCGTGCCTTCCCCAGACAGGGGTTTTCTGCGGGGCTAAGGACGACGCTCGAATAGGTAATGTCCGGGCTGGGTTCACTGGTGGGGACTTGCAAACCCGCTGAAACGCTTGGGGGGCGCTTCTTCCACGGGTTCGCTTCACTCGCACAGGCTTGCACAATGGGATGTCCGTGATTGGTGCTGGCACAGCATTGGTCTCGGGTACGTGCGTATATAGGTTCGCGCGCGGACAGCTGTTGTGGCACGAGGCGCAGCTGAAGCCTGCGGACTCTGATCGTGCTATTGATACCAACGGCCAAACGACGTCGCACAGGGCAGCACCCGTCGGAGAACGGCAACTGGTTCTGGGAAGATGTTAGAGCTTTATATGATGCTTCGTCGAGCCTTGATCTAGGCCACATGTCTGGCTGTCCTGCTTTCCATGTTCAGCTGGATGGGCGGTGCCACCAAGAGGGCTCTGATTTTCTTTTGACGGGTACTTTGTTGGCCACTTGGTTTGAGACTTCCGAGCGTTCCGACCCTCGTGGGCACAGGGTCTAGCATCGTCTCGTCCTGGCGTGGTGGCGGTATCAGCTCCCTGCCAACCATGGAGCTCTGCCGCATCTTCAAGAAGGCTACATGATACGGAAGGTTACTTATTACTGCATACATTCGCAATCATGGCTGCCTTGCAGCCCGACATCATCTTGTTGGAGCCGGTTGAACTCCGAGGCAAAGGCCTTGGACTGATGGAGTGCCCCTGATTCTTGAGTCAAAACCCTGACAGATCTTGAACTTCGAGGGTGGGGCCTTGGGTTGATGGGGCGCCCCTGATATCGGGTTTAGCGGGTTTATCGGGTTTATCGGGTTTAGCGGGTTTATCGGGTTTATCGGGTTTAGCGGGTTTATCGGGTTTATCGGGTTTAGCGGGTTTATCGGGTTTAGCGGGTTTATCGAGTTTATCGGGTTTACCGGGTTTATCGGGTTTATCGGGTTTAGCGGGTTTATCGGGTTTATCGGGTTTAGCGGGTTTATCGGGTTTATCGGGTTTAGCGGTGCGCGTCCGCTGTTTGCGCGCGCAGTGGGAATTTCGTTGCCCAGCGGGCAAATGCTGACTTGCTTCGGCTTGCAGAGGCCACAGACCAGCTGACGGTGGCAAAGGTCAAAGCGCACCAAGAAGTGGCATCAATGAGGGCAGCATCTCGTGAGGAGCAGTGGCGGGCAGCAGGTAACATTGCGGCCGACCTGGCTGCTAAACAGGCGGGACAACCTGCCGGAGCTCCTGAGACAATCAGCGGATGAGGCGGCGGCTCATTGTCAACAGGAAGGCCAGCTACTCAAACAGTATTGCCAGGCCGTGCTGGACGTTGATGTCTTGGACAACCAGCTCCGCGCAGCTGCTGAGTCGCAGGCTGTTGCTTGAAAGCTCATCACGGAGCAGGATGCTGTGCGCAACTTGGAGCTACGACTACAAAACTGGCAGATCCCTTTACCTGGTGCACAGGTGCTTCCCCCTACTTGGGAGGTGGACTGGACTGGCTGGCCTGTCGGTCAGGAATTTTGCGAGGTCCTGTTACGTTGGCTGGATGAGTTGCCCTCACAAACTTGGCAGGTTGCTTACCTTGAGCTCCTTGCCCACTTTGTGTGGACCACATGGCAGCCCCCACTAATCGAGCCACCAAGTGGAGCTCAGCAGAGGTAATTACGAGCCAGTGGATGCGGCTTGTGCCCGACTGCTTCCATGTCACCGTTCAGGGGTTGTGGCCTATGTGCAACTCGGAAAGCACAGGCGGCCTCGGGCGATCTGCTTTTCCATCGGCTGGGGCACCAACGATCTCAGGACGACTGGGGGACCTTTGGTCCAGAATGCCATCCGGTCCGTTAACACTGAAGACTCCTTCGAAAGCCTGCCACACGCTCACATGTGTGACATGAATGGTGCATGAATGCTTGTTTAGCACTCACACACCCCGAAAAGTAAAAACATGCACCAGACATGTCATTTGCGGAAGTATCCGCGATACTTTGGCTTTTCAGCCCACTGATCCACCACTCTATCTTCGGTAAGAACGAAACAGGCCTCCTTAAGAACCCTTCGAAGAAGATTCATCGGGGCCCCTAGCTTCGTCAATACATCCACAATCATCTGTCTGGTTGCAATCCACTTGAGCTGGATATTGTGCTTCTTGATGTCATTCTTTAGCAACAACATCTCGATCGCCATCCGCTTGTCCTTGATGCTCACGGTACAGCTGTGTGCGTGGTCGTAGACTGGCTTACAGTCTATCACAGCTGTCAGCGGAATTGATGACGACCAACTCAAGTCACTTTCCAAGGTGTACTGCTCATTCAAGGCCTCGCACCAGATTGATCTCATCCACCGCGCTTCTGCAACTGCCCTTGACAAAGACAGTAGCTCGGCTCCCAAAGTCGAGTGAGTCTGCCGATCTTGTTTGTATGACTTCCAGCGCAGCAACGAGAACGTTCCCCAGTGCCCTTGTGGTAGCATGCTGTCGCATGCTGCTACCATGTAGCCTGCCTGACTGCACTTCTTCTCCGCATTCGCCCATGAGGCATCGGAAATCACCACAAACTGCACTTCTGTTGCTTTGATAGGTCGCACTCGGATTTCAAGGCCGGCGTGCTCACGAGCAAGACTGATGAGTTTATTCGCTTCAACCAACTGCTCAACAGTAGCCGAACTGACTCTTTGCTGAAGCAACGAACACCAAGCAGCTAAATCCGGTCTGCTCCCTGACACTAGCCAGTTTATGGCACCAAGAACTCCTCTCAGCTTACCGGTCTCCTCTTCAGTCAAACGCTCTCCTCTCTGCTTCTTTCTGGCAATCGGAATGCTCACACCTTGCAGCTGGCTAGCGTACTCAGCTTGACTGATCGTGATTTCACCTGTTTCATCTTGGCGCAACACCTTGCCAAGAAACTCACCTTGTTTCTTCTTCCAGTGCTTGAAAGGATAGATTTTCTTTAACTCGTCAACCACATGTTTCTCAAAGTATTCATTTCCACCCAGACACATGTCATCCACATGCAAGGATATGGCACCAGCTATGTGTCCCTGATGAAAGTACCAAAACACACACGGATCAAAGCTTGACACCTTCATTCCTAGTCGCACTAGCACAGCACTAAAGCTCTTCCACCAGGCCTTTGGAGCATCTGCCAAACCATACACCGTCTTCACTGCCTCGATGACGCAGTCGTCGTCATAGCCACTTACACCGCCGGGCGGCATCTCCACAAACAACCTTCCTCGAGACGAGTCCAACTTGTCTCCTCGTAAGAAGGCTCCTTCAACATCGGCAATCTGTAAGTCCCAGTTCTTACTGGCCAGCAGCTGAACGACAATGGCGAACCCTTCCGCAGACAACGTAGGAGCATTGGTGTCCAACTCAAGCAGAGCAGGGTCCAAATAACCTCGTATACACCATCTTGCCTTGAGGCCCATGGTCTCCTCCTGGAGCTGATTGTCCGCCTCCGTTACAACAAACCGCGACTTCATGAATCTGCCATTCCTTCCAAACTTTTCACGCAAGCGACGTGCCTCACGACCTTTGTGGACTATGATGGCCTTGCTGTCCAGAAGCTTTTTCCACTCCTTTAATTTGGCCTTCTCCAAACCAGGTCGGCGCTCGGCGCTGACACTACTCATGGCAACCTCCTTCCTGCCCTTGGTCCTTTCAACTCCAACACGCTGATTTTCCGACACATGCACCTCTAGCTCCTCATCACTTTCAACCGGCACTGGTACTGCTGAGGCTTCTGTTGGCACATTGGCTGGCAACCTCACACCATCAAGGCGCTCGGCATCTTGCCTCATTGCCCTCGTCAACTGACTCACCTCATCACTCACACGCAACCTCTTCGACGGCGACTCACCTCGATCAAGCTCACCTTCACGCTCACACTCAACTGCACGACCGCGACCACGCTCACCCTCATGCTCAACGACATGTCCTGGCGCACTCTCACTGCCTTCAGGTAGAGGTTCTGACTCCTCCATTGGTACTGGAAGACTATCCTCCATTGAAACCTGAGCCGCACCAGGTCCTCGATCCCGCTCAACTGTCGACTCACTGTCACGCTGCTCATCTCGATCAAGATCCCAAGCAACATCTGGTCTCTCCTGATCAACCAAATCATGATACGTCCCAGCACCTCTGGCACTCACCTCCGACCTGACATGCACAACATCTGCCGGAAGCA